CATTGTAAAAATCAGTGAATTAGTGATTAGGACAAGCAGTAAAAGCGTTAATAGTAGTTAAATTGATCGAACTAGTTAGGCTCCCAGTCACTTTTATCCTTTCAGTTTGGATCTATGTTGTATTATCCGATCGGGTACCAATTGTTCCAATTTCGGGTCTAAATAAAGTTTTTTACTAGAAACTTATTATTAAGAAAGAACATTAGAAGTTTATGAATACTATAATTAGAGAACTAGAATAATGTTAATTACCAAAATTCTAGTTCTCTAATTATAATCAAAATAGCAAAATAAAGAAAAGTATATTAACGTCAGTCTTTTTTTTAATGCATTGTCAAAAATAAATATTTGAGAATCATTATTACTAAGAAATTCTCCATCTCTCTCTTTCTTGATTCGCAAACGAGAATATTTTCAGTTTTGTTATACGTATTCGTTTTGGCATTGCATAAATGGAAAGCTCCTCGAGAATAAAATTAGGGTATTTAGTGTGCGGGTGAGTTACGGCCGTTAATCCGCGGAGAACTGCGGGCTTTAGTTTTCAGACTGATATATTGCTATCAACTAAACGACAACGCTTACAGGATCATCATATGAGAACTAAAACTCTAAATTCACCAAACAATTTTTGACAATAAAAATATAAATTATGTTCTCTGTTATTTATAAAAGAACCAGAGAAGATTACGTAAATAATTTCAATGATAGTTTTAACAGTTTTCTAATGAGTACATTCTGTACCAAAGATAGTACTAAAAAACAATGAGTCGGATAGATTCCTCTAGTATTAGGTGAAATAAAATTTATACCATCCGTAGAAAAAAAGGACAAGAAAAATTCCTTCATCTTCACAATATAAGCTTCTCGCACGCGAAGATGTTGGGTATTATAATAATCACGATAACGAAAAATTATCAATGTGCGACATGAGTATCAAGTTTCTCCATCACTTGAAAATGACGATGGCAATTATATGACTCATATTTTATTCTTCTTGGTTTCTTTTCTTCTCTTTTTCTTTCTTCCCCCGTCGTCACCTTTCCTCTCCTATTTAGCTCTTTTTACCGACTCTCTTTCCTGATTACATTCTTTCTTGAAGCTCTTTTCCTCTCCCTCTTCGAAGACGCATTTTGTGCTCGCGATTAGAGGATTAATATCGTGTGTGCTCGCAACTTGACACTCGACTCGAAAAAACTCTCTTATCTATATAACTTTAACTGACTCCTTCGGTTAATTATTCAAAGCGACAGAAATTATACGAGTAACGAAAGTCGAGAGAATTGGTCACGCATTTTATGAGGCAAAACACTCACTAACACATGATAATAGTCAAATTATATAATATATTGGACGAAAGAATAAAAATAAAAAACAAAAATACCCAACGAATTCTTAGGATTGGTCCAGGAAACTCTTTGTAGTATGATGAAAATTGATCTGCGAGCGTCTGACGTTTAAAGTCGTAAACATAAATATATTTTTATTACTCATTGGATTATTGGAAATTAGATAATAGAGAAAATATTCGGTGAATTTTAATATCGAGGTTTTAAATAACTAAATGTAACTACTAACAAATAATTAAAATCGGCACTAATTACAGCATAATTATTGAAGTAATAATTACTACTTCTGTTAATAAATTTAGAGAATAGAAAGAGAGGTGAAACTAAAACTTAAAGAGTATAACTTTGTATTGCATCCGTATGCACCAATGTGCAGTTGGTATAAAGTTAATGTGTCACAATTGTCATATTAAATGTTGTCCATGTTTCTTTTGAATAAAAAGAGATGTTTAAGCAAACATTAGGATTATGATAACACATAGTTTGCAAGCACACCTGACTGCAACCAGAGATTCACATGCCATGCGACACCTCACTAAACAATTTTATCCACATCTGCTTCATACACAATGAACTCAACTTATAGCTTATACAACATCATCTTCATCACAACTTTGACACGTCATTTTGAACGTCATATTTAGTTAAAAACAAAAAATGAAACTGGAACTATTTATAGCATAATCTTTTGTTCTGGTATATATTAATAATTTTCGTACAATCGTTGGTCTGCTGTTAAAAATTCTCGTGGAATCTTTGTTAAATTATTCATCTGGTGCCACTTTTATTCTGCTGTTAATAATTCTTTTCTGTATAAATAATTTCGGCATAATTTTTGATCTGCTGTAAACAATTCGAGTACAACTTTTGTTTTGTTGTAAACAACTATTGCTTTAAATAATTGTAGCACATTTGTTTAGTTGTAAATAATTGTAGCAGAACTTTTGTTCTGCTGTAAATAATTATATTATTTCTGTTGCTCTATAATTATAGTTTTTATTCCAAATTTCTTTTCCATAAATTAATTTCATCGCTCAAAATTATTTTTCCTTTCGATTTTCCTCACCGTGCTGTTGCAGTATTTAATTTCTCAATCGACAATGTCAGCATTAATGAAGAATAACTTTCGTAAGAGTTATGTAATAAGAAAGAAACAAAAAAAGAAAAGAAAAGAAGTCTTCCTCAGATTTGCTGAGAATATCAAAATCAGCAAGGACGAAAACGTGTTGTACTGCATTTATTATTGTGTTAATGTATTGCATCAATGATCAAGAGGAAAAATTTTGTCGCAACTTTTATCTTATTCTTAATACTCATACGGGAAAATAAATTGTGTTTCAATAATGTGACTCCTGTTAATACACTTAATAATACTACCATACATTATGTAATACTTGATGTATATAGATTGTCTACTGTTTAAAATTTCCATGAGACAGATTTTATAATGGAGAAATAATACAATGTAAGCGAATTAATGACGATTGTAGGTGACACACATTAGTCTGATTTCGTGCATAATATTTTTTATTGTTTTTGTGATAATTATGTCATTGGGGTCTTTTATAATGATTTTCTTTTGTGGATTACAAAATGGTGCTTGTAGAATATTGTCCTACAAAAAAAACTTTTGATACAATTATTTACAGCATAAAAAATGTTGTGCTACAATTATTTACAGTATAAAAATCGTTGCGGTACAATTATTTACAGCGTAAAAAATGTTTTGCTACAATTATTTACAGCATAAAAAATGTTGTGCTACAATTATTTACAGCATAAGAAATGTTGTGCTACAATTATTTATGGCAATAGAGAGTTATTTACAGCAGAAGAAAAGTTATTATTATTTACAGAATAAAAATCATGATTTTTTGTCAAAATCAAGATATTTTGAAGAAAAGAAAATTTTCTTTTTGGAATTGTAACAGAATCTACAACCTGCTTTTGTTCTGCTGTAAATAGTTCTAGTACAATAATCTTTAATCGATTCGAAGAAAACATTAACAGGGGATCTTAAAATCAAACTAATGAACTCGGAATATTAAAAATTAAAGTTTATTTCATGTTTAGAGAGTCGATCTATATATAAGTGAAGCGATAACGTACATGATGTCGATCACTTTACCAAGAAAGATTAAATTCACTTTGCCACGTGTATATTGCATAACGTAACTTTTTTTAAAATTAAATATTCATTTAATTTAACAACAAACAACAAATGTTTGTATTAAGTGTATTCACTAATTTTTATATTAATTGTATAAAAATTATAAATAATCAATTAAGTATAAACGCATCTATTTGGTTATAATTCAATCAAAATTTAGGTGTTTTAATCAAAATTGGTTTCTGAGTGTGTTTAAAAATATTATTTTGCCGTTCGCAGTGCGAGCTAATTTCGAAGTTGTTTATAGGAAAAATTTTCGGTTCTCTATGGGTCAATTAGTAGTTTAACAAGATGAATTTAGAAATTAGTTCAATTAGCAGAAGCATCATGTATGTTCCTAGGCAAAAAGCTCTTAATTCGCAAAATTCATACCATCTCTTAATAGTCACGTGCTCCCTAATCGGCTATCAGATTCTGCAATACACACATGTGTAAGCATCATGCAGAGAGTATTCAAGTTTCTCAATATGATATAATAAAACGAATGCAGATTTATATCTCTATATTCTGTCTGAAAAATTATTCGGATGAAACACTATACACAAGAATAGAACGAATCCGAGTTTTATTAATTGAAATATTGTTTTTGCTGCAGTAAAATCACCAAAGTTGCAAAGAAATTTCAACTTCCATTTATACAGTAGTAATTTATAGTATAATTTATACAACTTTAGAAAATTTAAAAATTATCAATTTTATAAATAATTTTGTAAAGTGTATTTTTTTCTGGTATTTGGAGAATACCAAATTTGAAATGCAATCTTCATTAGTGCGTATCAAATATGGAATCATAGTTATAATCATAAAGCATTTAAATAGGTCGAAGATCATAACCGAGCGGAAAATCATATCCATTGCAGCAGAATTCTTGAAACACTGCTTTGAGTTCCACGAGGAAACGTGCGGTATTCAATGCCGATAAGCGAAATACAATACAGTGAGTGACATCACTTGAGGAATTACTAAGTCTCCATTATAAGCTACTTTTCGAGATCGTTGCGAGAGCTTTAAATTTAAAGAAATTTAATACACTCAGGAGGCAATGTGTTCGAAACATCGGAAACTTTTATTGAATCAACGAAAATTTCAGTTAACAAAAAATTCGGCTTTTCGAATGTTTGATAATTATTAATAATTTTAGATTTTTTACCAAAGGGTGGAGACTATTGAAAAAGTAAAGTGTTTTTAAAGAGCCCAAAAATAATGAAGCTAAATGCCATAAAAGAGAAGGAAAAATGTTGAATTTTAAGAAATTATCGTTTGTTTCTATCATTAGATATTAATTTATTGTTAAATATGTCAGTTACCATATTTTTGTCTTAAGAAAGGCGAAATAAAATTAGTTAAAAGTCTGGCAAAAAATCAGGGAATTATTTTCTCAATCCTTGTTAGACACCCTGAATTTAATAATGATTTTTAAAAATAAATAAATAAAATTAGTCCACAAAAGAACTAATTCAACCATTAAATTGCAATTGTTTCAGTGAACAACTTCGTTCTGGAACTACAGTCAAACAATTGTATGAATACAACAATAAAAAGTCCAGATTCTCCAATTGGAAGTCTATCAAAATCGTCACTAAATTCCCATCACATTCATCAGGCAAATCACAATAGTCACAATCACAATAATTTAATGAGTTCTTCGACAAAATCTCTCGATTCATCGATTGGAAATTTGACGAAATCTTTGAATACCCAGCAACAACAACAACACTCGACAATTATTCATCAGAATAATCACAGTCATAGTAATGCATCGTCAACTGAATTATCAGTTCTCTCGTCGAACTCAAGTCACTCGAGTAGTCATCATAGTAAATTGAAGGAAAAAGACATAAGTTTAGCGAGTGGCAATGGGAATAATAGTCAATCGTTATCGAGTGCTGCATCGACGATACAGACAAACGACACGGACTCGAGTGTTTCGGGTTCGAACTCAACGGCATCGGCGACATCATCATCTTCGACGACGACCAAACCGCCATACAGTTATGTGGCGTTGATTGCAATGGCCATTAAGAGCAGTCCCCATCAACGGGCGACTTTGAGTGAAATTTATTCGTATATTACGACGAATTTCCCTTATTACATGAATAATAAGAAGGGATGGCAGAATTCGATTAGACATAATTTGTCGTTGAATGAGTGTTTTGTTAAGGTGCCGAGGGAAGGTGGTGCTGAGAGAAAGGGCAATTTTTGGACACTTGGTATGTAGTTTCTAGATTTTTATTTGTTATTTTTTCTTCATTTATAACTATAGCAAATGTTACGCACACTAGCACGCGGAACGTGATATTAAAATTTATTATTTTTATACAAATTACAAAATTTTTTATTTTTAAATCATTTCATAATTAAAAATTAAAAAATTCACTTATTAAGTACATAATTAATAATTATTCTTCTAAAAAATCATTCTTCTGAAAAATTGAATTATTTTTATAAATAATAACATTCTTCTAAAGAATTCCATTATTTTTATATAAGTAGTAAAATTTTTTGTAAAAATTCAATTATTTTCAACAAAATTTTAATAAAATTTCACGAGAGTATTCAATTATTTTTAAAATTTTAATAAATCCTTCGAAATAATTCAATTATTTTTTCGTAATAGTAAAATCCTTGCAAAAAATCAATTATTTTCAACAAAATTTCACGTATGAATTAATTTTTTTTTATTTAATTCGTTATAATATTTTTCAAAAGAATTCAATTATTTTCTAAAATTGTAATAAATCCTTCGAAGCAATTCAATTATTTTCTACAAAATTTTAATAAAATTTCACGAAAGAATTAAATTATTTTCTACAAACTTTAATAAAATTTCGCGAAAGAATTCAATTATTTTCTAAAATTTTAATAAATCCAACGAAGCAATTCAATTATTTTTATAAGTTTAGGAAAATTCATCGCAGGAATTAAAGGAATTCAATTATTTTCAACACAATTTTGATAAACTTCAAAAATCAAATATTCATTTATAATTATTAATAGAGACACGATTCTTTTAAAAAATGGAAAAAAAATTCTTTGTTTAATTCAATTATTTTCAAAATTTTCAATTAAAATTATTCAAAAAAGTACAATATTTTCAAAAAAAAAAACTTAAAGAAATTGTTCAAAGCAATTTAATTATTTACAAAAAATTCTAATAAAATTATTTAAAAGAGTTTAATTTTCTATCAATAATTTTAATAAAATTTTAATGGTAACAAAATTAATTACAATTATTAACAAAATCGATTATATTTAATAAATTAAAGAAATTTTTTTAAAGAATTTTTTTAAATTTCATAGAAATAATGTAGTTTTATTTGAATAATTTTAATTAAAAATGTTAAAAATAATTGAAATTTAGAAAAAAATAAATTTATCAAAAACTTTTTAGAATAATTACATTATTTAGACAAATTTTATTACAAATTTATAAAAATAATTGAATTCTTGCGAAGAATTTTACAATTTATAAAAATAATTCAATTGTTTCGAAGAATTTTACCAGAATTTTTGAAAATAATTAAATGTGTTTGAAAGAATTTTATTAAAAAATTTGTATTCAATTGAAAAATTTTATTAAAATGTTTAAAAATAATTAATTTTTCTTAGGAATTTTTTTGAAAACTGTAAAAAAATGAATTGAATTAAATTAATATTTTTAAAAATAATTGTATTCTTTCGAGAAATGTTATTAAAATTGTATTAAAAATAATTGCATTCCTCCGAAGATTTCTATTATTTATGTAAATAATTGAATTCCTTTGGATAAATTTTATTATTTATGAATATAATTGAATTTAATTTATATTTTTAAAAATAATTTTATTCTCTCAAGTAATTTTATTAAAAATAATTGAATTCTTCCGAAAAATTTTATTGTTAAGGGGTTAAACCACTCTAGAGCGTCAAAAAGAGGTTCTAATTTCAAAATTTTTTTTAAAGAAAAGTTTAAAAGTAATGAGAAATATGTTTACATATCTCTATCAGGTACACTTTAAAGAGAAAAAAATATACTTTATAAATTTTTTTTGTTTAAAAACTGCAGATGTACATGTACGTGATGGAAACTCTTTGTAAAAAGAAATCCTTCGCGGCCGGAAAGGTTTTTGGTACAATTTTGATCCTAGAACAAAAAACAAATTTTTTTCTATTTTTACATCTCAATAGCTAGAGAAAGACGTAGGGGATTTTTTTTATGTTTCATATTTTTTTAGTTATAAACAATTTAGTGCCTATTTTTTCAGTCAAAAACTCAGTTTTTCCATAAAATGTTCACCATTTTTGCAAAAATCGATTTAAAAAAAATCCCCTACGTCTTTCTCTAGCTTTTGAGATGTAAAAATAGAAAAAAATTTGTTTTCTGTTCTAGGATGAAAATTATACCAAAAACCTTTCCGGCCGCGAATGAATTCTTTTTACAAAGGGTTTCCATCACGTGCATGTACATCTGCTGTTTTTAAACAAAAAAAAATTTATAAAGTATTTTTTTTTCTCTTTAAAGTGTACCTAATAGAGATATGTAAACATATTTTTCATTACTTTTAAACTTTTCTTTAAAAAAAATGTTGAAATTAGAAGCTCTTTTTGACGCTCTAGAGTGGTTTAACCCCTTAATGAAAATAATTGAATTCCTTCGAGGAATTTTATTATTTATGAAAATAATTGAATTTAATTAATATTTTTAAAAATAATTTTATTCTTTCAAAAAATTTCTATAAAAATTGTATAAAAAATAATTGGATTCTTCCGAGAAATTTTATTATTATTAATAAAAATAATTGAACATTCTGGGATTTGAACTTTTGAGGTTTTAATTTTCGAGGAGTTGAACTTTCGAGGTTTTAAATATTCGGAGAGTCGAGCATTTAAATTTTCGATTTTTATAATTAATTTAATAATATAAATTTAAATGAATAAAGTTTATGTATATTGGTAATTGAATTTAAATTTTAAAATCAATTTAAATAATTAATTAAATAATTAATGAACAACAGAAAATTTTTTTGTCTGACTAAAGACGACTTATACTACTTAATATGAAGTTATAGCAAAAAATTAAAAATTGTTCCGTCTGACAAAATTTGTATTTTTTCACTTGACACACTATTAATATTTGAAATTTTTATGTCTGACTGTAACTGATTTTTACTACTCATATAAATACTGTTTTTTGTTAGAATAAAAATGTTAGAAAAGAAGTTTACTAAATTCTAGATTGAAATGCACTTTTACTACTTGTTAATAATTAATATTTAATATTATTAAATATTTATTTATATTTGTTGTTTTTTTCTTTTTTTTTGCAGATCCTTCGTGTGAAGACATGTTCGAACATGGGAATTATCGTAGACGAAGGCGCATGAAGCGACCGTATAGAAATACTTCATATCATCCAAAGAGTTTGTTTAGTGATCCTTATTCGACGAGTCATGTTCATTTGAGTGCAACTAGAAATCTTTTCGCCCATTCACCACCCTCTTATGCCCCTCCATATCCTCGCTATGACACCAGGTATTTATAATTTATTAATTTATTATTCATTGATTTATAATAATATTATTAGTTCAGAGACAATAAAATTTATTGAAATTATTTATTATAATTTAATTGTAATTAATAGGTGTATAGAATTAATCGAAATTTATCTACTTAAATAATTATTTTTCGCAATAATTGCAAAAAAAAAATTTGTTTTTCTTATTCTTTTTGTTTTCAGCTCCTGGCAACCGCAATTTTCCAGCTATTCACATTGTCAAGCGGTAAATCGGATTTTTTCTCTTCTCTTATTTTTGTTCTTCTCTCCATTTTCTTTTTTTTTCTTCAAATTTAATTTTTCCTTTTTTTCTTTTCCCATTTGTTTTTTTTTATTTTCAGTATTTTTTTATTCTGTCCTTTTTTCTCTTCTATTTTTTCTTGTTTTTTGTTGTTCCTTTCTTTCTTTATTTATTGGTTTTGCATCTAATTTTTTTTTATTTATTGAGTTCTTTTCTTCTTCTTTTCTCTAAAAATTCAAGTGAGACATATAAAACGTTTTATTCTTTTTTTCACTTCCTTTTTCAATTTTTTTCTTTTCTTTCTTCTTTTTTGAGATTCATAATTCATAGATAATAAAGTACGCTGGAAAAAAAAATTATTTGATTCAAATAACCGACTACTTGACTATTATCAATTTAATGTTTATTTGAATCAAATAATATTTATTGAAGTCAATTAAATGGTTAATTCATATTTGAACCAATAATTTCTCAGTATTTGAAGCAAATATGAATTGAACCATTTAATTGACTCCAATAAATATTATTTGATTCAATTAAATATTTAATTGAATGAAATAATATTTATTGGAGTCAATTAAATGGTATATGCTTCAATTAAATATTTAATTTATAATAGTCAAATAAAAGATTATTTGAATCAAATAAATTTTTCTCCTATATAATAAATAATAAATTTGTACTTGTAAAGATTGTTAATTCATAAATAATAAACAAATATCTAAATAAAAATAATTTTTTTTTTGCTTTGTTACAGCTGCAGCAACAATTGCAGCCAATGCAGTCAATGCAGATTCCATCGATGAATGGCTACGGACAATTGAGTTCATCGTTAGGTGAGTCCTCAACTTCTTTTAATACGACGAACGATATTCGATGATAGAATTATTCGACGTCCAATCAAAGCGTTTCAAGGGAATTACCTCGATGTTCCAGGCAGTGCAACGGGCTCGCCAGTTTCAATGAGTGGAAGTTCATTTGGTAGCAATTTCTCCACGTGCGGAAGAAGGTACGATACGAGTGCCTCCGTCGCCGCCGATTCCATGTCCTCCAGATATCCCTCCTACTGGTCCGAAGGTACATTTATCATTATCAACAATTTTTTACAATAAAATACCATTAATTAAAATATCAGGCTTCGCACTCATCTACTAAAAATTAAAATCTATTATTTACGACTCTTTTTGCAATTTTCTACTATTTGGATACTTTTTTAGATTTATGACACTTTTTCTTTTTTTTTGGAGAAATTTACATCTAAATTTAACTCACTAACAGTTGAAATAAAAAAAAATTCTAAAAGTTGTGATAAAATTCTTTGAAACGATTAATAATAAATATTAATAATTTATTAACTTAAATGAGACTAATCTGAATTTTTTCGTAATTAAAAAAATACATAAATTTTATTATAAAAAATCAAATTAATATGCAGATCTTTAATTATTTGAGTAATATTGATTCAATAAAAAATTTATAATTTTAATATAACGTATAATTAAATTTTTGCATAAAAATTAAATTAAATTTGTACTTTAATTTTGATTACAGTCATAAAAGAAGAACCGGGAAGTACGACAGTATCGCCGAGTGGAATGTCACCGCCGCTTGGTGTTGTATCAAATATGGTAGGATCAGTCTCATCACCATTTGTCGATAGTAACAAACGCTTATACTAATATAAATAGAAGAGAGAATGAGAGGGAGAGAAAGAAAGAAAGAAAGAGAGAAAGAAAAAAAATAATACAGGTACGTCGGAAATATTATCTAATTATTATTATTTAAAATATCATCTTCCAAACTATCACAATTGTTAAAAAGTAAAAAGAAAATCTTATTTTAAGAAAAACGTTTCATTAAAAATTAACTGAGTCTCGAATATTTATTAGCTTGAATTGAAATTTAATTAAATGGAAAAACTAAATTTAAAAATTGGTAAATTCAAATTTTAAAAAATAAATTCAAATTTCGTTCGTAAAAAAGAAGTAGTTTATTATAAGAGTAAATAATTTTGTTTTTATAATAAAATAATTTATTTTTGTAATACTTTACTTATTTTATTTAATAATATTTAATAATATTTTATCAATATAATATTTTATTTTCATAATAAAATAATTTACTCCTATACTAAAATATTTTTTATTGTGAATTAAATTTTCAATTTAGGTCTTCAAATTAATTAAATTTCAATTTGGTTTTTCGAATTAAATAAATTTCTATTTAATTTTACAATTTTACAACTTCTACACAATTCAGATAAATTCTTAATTTTCAAAAGAAAATTTCAATAACAATACAATAGGAATATTTCAATAAATAGATACATTTTTTAGGAATAATTTTCTATTTTGTAAATTAATTACATTTTTAATACAAATATATAAAAAATATTCTTGAAACGAATCTTATTCAGAAAATACAAAAAATGCTTTTTAAAATTTCGCTCTATAATATTTTCAACGAAAAAATAGCATAAAGGAAAAAAAAATTAAAAATGTAATAATTTAGTAAGAATTTACTAGTGACAAATATTTCCTTAAAATAAGAATTTCCTCTTAAATGGCAGTGATTGCACTTCGTGATGATTGAATCACGCGCCAATATATATATATATTAATACTTGCAACAAAATTCGATTAGCATTTTTTTTCCGCAAGATTTTACTCGCACGTATTTGTATATTCTGTGAAAACAATATAACGTATCCATTCTGATCTCTAATAATATTTGACGTCTCGTTATAAAATAAGATTTAAAGAAACAAACAAAAAAAAACAAAAAATGCGTCTAGTTATTAAGTTATAATTTTACGTTTATATATTTATCCTATATAAATTTGGCTGTGCGTGGCCCCTCCCCTCCCCTTTGTATTATTATTAAAAAATGTTGCAAACATTTAAGAAAAAACTTTCACGCCAAAAAAAGAAATCCATATTTTATTCTTTTAACTGTCAGGAAAAAATTGTATTTCCTTATAAAAAAAGCTTCTTTATAAATTTAATGGAAAATTCTTCAAGATATTAAGTAATAATTTATTATAATAATAATATTATTTGTTTTATGTTTTAGCTAAATATATTGGTGGAATATTCTTGGTAAATTTCATAGAATATTATTGAATATTATTTTATTAATAAATTTGTTAATATATTATTATTAATTGTAATTAATTTTTTTTGATTATTTTATTTTTCTTATTATTTCCCTTTGGAATTTGAGAAAAAAAAATAATGAAAAATTATTATTACTGTATTATCTGGAAATATCTCTAAAATATTCTTGAAATATTCCTTTGGAGTATTTTTCCGCATTGTTTAAAATACCGCGATGACAATTTTTTCTTGACAGTTAAATTTCGTACACTTATTAAGTGCGAATGAAGAAAATAAATTTAAAAAAGACAAAAAAAAATTCATTTTTATAATATTTATTTTTGGTCCTTTTTATATTTAAGGTACGCGGGTATTTTTCTCTATTTATGTTTAAATTATAATAAAATTTGTAATTTGCCTTGGAATAAATTGGAAAATAATTTCAAAATTTTGATTAATGTCACCGTTGACTGCGCCGTGCTTAAATTTAAAGTTTAATATATTTTTGCCGTCGAGCGCAAATATTCTGGAATGCAATTTGTTAACACCTATTTTGCAAATTAAGTAACAATTTTTAAACAAAACTTTTTCTCACAATTTGGCAAGAGAATAATATAATGAAGAGGAAAACTGTGAAAAATGGACGTACCGTAAATATGTAAAATATCGCAAATTCTTTTTTATAATTATTATTGCGTTAAATTAAAAAAATTAGAAATTGAAATTAAATTAGAATTTAATGTAAAGTTAAAAAAATAAAGTAAAAATAAATTTTTTTATTGTTTTTACTTTACATTTTCAAAAGTTATTGTGAAATAAAAATATATTTCGATCTGAAAAATATATTGAAAATAAAAATACAAAGTAAAAATAAAAATTAAAGTAAAAGTGAAAATAATAAGTAAAGTAAAAGTGAAAATATAATCAGTAAATTAAAAGTGAAAATAATCAGTAAAGTAAAAGTGAAAGTGAAAATTAAAAGTAAAGTAAAAGTGAAATTAAAAAATTCTTTGAAAGGTTTTAATAAACTTTTAGAAATGAATATTAAACATATTGCAGTTTAAGGCTGATGACTGATGATAAAGGAAAAAAAATTCTCCAAGCGTGTAAAAAAGTTTATCTATAGATAAAAAAAATGCAATAAATTTATTGCAAAAAGCGAATTTTCTGCTAAAAGCGAAAATTAAAAAGAAAAAAGTTTACAAACAAATTATAAAAATTTGGTGTAAATTTACATAAATATATTAAAAATTATAGAAGTGTATACGAGATTTTTATTCTAATGGAGCAAAATCACTTTTTATAAATAGAAACCAAAAATGGATTATTAAAATAAAACTAATAGCTGTAAATCGTTATTAATTTAATAATTATTATCATTATAAAATTACGTCTATCATTTTAATTTTTTTTTTAATTTAATTTTTTTTGTAAAAACATTCTTTCGCATTGTAAAGATAATAATAATTTCTTCATCTTCATTACATACAATATGTGTATAAATAATATAATATATATAATTTTTAGTTGTTTAAAATATAATACAATTTAAGTCGGAAAATATAATATAAAGAAAAATTCCAGTCAGGAATTTTTAATACTAAAGAAAAGTTCCAATCGGGAATTTTTAAAACTGAAAAAGTTTCAAATAAAAAAAATTCTAAATAGGAATTTTTAGAACTAAAAAAAAATTCCAATCAGGAATTTTTAAAACTAAATAAAAATCCCAATGTCAGGAATTTTTATTTTAAAAAAAGGGTAATAATAAAAATTGTTTAATTAAAATAAAAAAGAAACTATAACACCGTCCTCGAAATTCGTCAAAATGTATATACACGAAACACTTTGTTTTTTATGTTAAAAAACTAATTAATGTCTGATAGTGTATACGTGCTTTTCTCTGAAAATAATTAAAACAAAATACATGAAATTAATGTTTTCGTATTTTATTTATTGTTTTAATTTTAATTAGACTATAAATGTATATATTCGTTGATAGAAGTGAATAATTTTAATTAATTTTGATAATTTAATTAAAAATATTACCAAGAATAATAATAATAATACATTTTTAATTATATAATTAATTTTAGTCTTTATTAATTAATAATTTAGTTTAAAACATTAATACTCACAATTAATAATTTTCAATTTATTAAAATTTTGACTATTTTTTATTATTTATTAAAAACAAAATTTAATTATATAATGAATATTTAAAAATAATTTTAATATATAAAAATCCTGATAAAAATATAAGTAAAGTTTAAATAATATATTGAAAACTGACATAATAATATGAAATTTTCTTCGTATATTTTAACGTAATGTATATTCAATATATTGTTACCGCACATTAATTATAAGATTGGATTACGAAAGATTTTTACTCGATTCATTTATTTAATGAATGGCATCGAATTACATTTCGTTTTGAATCGAAGAAAAAAGTATTTATTGTTGAATTAATTAGTTCAAATTAACATTATCATTATTTTTAATAATGGTAAAAATAATAACAATAATAATAATATAATAATTTCTAATTATTAATAATAATAAAATAACAATTTTTATTATTTACAGCAATAGTAATAATTATTATTAATATATTTTTTTTATCTTGTCATAAAAATTAATAAACCTTGTGTTTGTTTATTTATTTAATCGATTTTATTGAAAGGTAAATACTTTTTTTTCCTTTTTTAGTGACATTTAGTGACAAGTTTAGATTTATAAAAATAATAAAAGAAAAAAAGAGTAAAAGAAAAAAAAATTGCTCTGCAACAAGAGAGATTGCAAACCAAGGAAATAACGGGAGAGAAATGGGTGTTACTATCGAGCTCCACCCACGAGAACAGGGAGCCAGTGGTTCTCAGTTTATATTTCGCCACCAATTTTTATTTCAAAAATTATTATAAAACATTGAAATAAAATAGTAAATTAAATAAAAAAAAATATTAAATTTTCCAAAAAAGAGAAAAATTTTTTTGCTCCAAAAAATTTGCAAAGGAAATGTCCAAATTTTTTACTCAAATTAAAAAATTTGTCCTCAGTAAATTAGTAAGTTAATTAATAAGTTTTTGTATGTTTTTTATTACTGCTTGTTTTCTAGTTTGCAAATTCAAAAATTTTTCCGAATTCAAACTATTTTTCGTAATTTAAACTATTTTCTAAATTCAAACTATTTTCCAGAATTCAAATAATTTCCAAATTCAAACTGTTTTTCAAATTCAAACTATTTTCCAGAATTTAAACAATTTCCAAATTCAAACTATTCTCCAAATTTAAAGTATTTTTCTTATTCAAAGTATTTTTAAAAAAAAAGAAATTTTTGTCCATTTTTTTGCAAATAAATAATAATTTTAATAAATAATAAAATAAAATATTCATAAACTCATATTATTAAAAAATATCAATAATAATTATTGTCAAAAATATTTATTTATTAAAATATTTAAACAGAAATACAAAAAAATTTACAAAATATTAGATTTGTGAAATTTTCCCACTTTTAATTTACCACAAAAATATTCAAACGATTTGTCTATAAAAAAAATTAATTAATTATAAATATTCCGATGTTTTTTATTTTTTAACAAAAAAAAAAGAAAATTCACGAGTCAAGAAAATTTTCAGGGTATTATGTTGTATATCAATTGATTGACGCACGACAGCTGAAAGTTTTCTCCGACACTTTAGAGGATTCGATGTCGACATTTCCGAATCGTATTTTTATTTTGATTGAGATTAAAGCGATTTTACTTTTTTTTTCTTTCTTCAAAAAAAAAAAATTGACTCTGTTTATTTATTTATTTTTCTTTTTCCGATTTCAAACGAGAATAATTGGTAGACCGCACTATTGAAACAAAAATATATAATAAATAATAAATCATATAGAATATTGAGAAAATGTGAAGAGAGAATAAAGAGGGAAAATTTTTTCCACTGATAATAATTATTTTCGGTAGACAATAATTAAAAAAATGTAAAGATAAAATTAGAAATTGTAGAGAAATAATTTTTTATTGTTGGAAAAAATAATATTAACTAAAATTGTATTTTTATTAATTATTATTAATTACTTTTTTACCAGTTCGAATCAGTTGCGATTAGAATTTAATTGAGAATTAAAAAATTCTCGAACACTTGAATTTTAATTTAGAATTTAATTATCAATTTTATTTTCCCATTGATTAATTATTGTATTTAATTTCCATGACTAATAAATAGTGGATAATAACATAAAAATAATGAATAATAATATAAAAATAGTTAATAATAACAAAAAAAAAAAAATAACAAATGATACTATAAAAAATAAAAATAGTAAATCGTAATACAAAAATAATAAATAATAATTAAAGAAACAAATAGAAAAAGATATTCTATTTTCCTTCCGACTTTTAAAATAAAAAAAACTCAATTCTTTTAAAAAGCATGACTATTTTCAATTCCCATTATTTTATTCAAGAATTATGTACTAATGACTTTTAGAGGGATTTTAAAGCTTACGCATGGGTAATTTGTTGTCAAGTGTCAAGATTAGAGTTATTTCTGTTTTCGAGCTGGAGGGTTTTAAGCTTCTTTACAAGCATTCTGTTAATTCTGACACGAATGAGTGGAAAGGAAGTTAATTAATCTCAACCTTTTTCCCCCCAACTTCTCTTTTGCACTGATTCTAAAAAAAAGAAATGAAGAGAAAAAAAAGAGAGGGAAAACTATTTTACATATATTATAAATTTGAAAATTAACAAAAAATCGTTTAATTTCTAGAAAAGAAAAAAAATATATTGGAGTACAATTTAATTATAATATTCCAGAATTTAATTTTGAACAATAAAAAAATGTAATTAATCGAATTTCAATTTATTGAAAGAATTTGATTTTTATAATCGAAAGATGAAAATCTTTCGATTATAAAAATTAAATTCTTTCAATAAACTATCTTTTCAAATTTGATTCGAAATTTTGAATAATAAATTTTACGCAATTTCCTGCTGTCAATATGTTCAAATTGTAATTCCAAATAATAAAATTCGTATAATAATTTCCTAAATGTAACTTCTCATATGCGGCGTTATATTTTTGTACCCGCGCACATTATTATAGAGAGATGATGAATTCTCGAGAAAATCATATAAAATTTCCGAAAGTGTTCTCGTACGTGCTGATCTACATCCGCATTTCTTCAGTTCAACAAAATTTTATCGATTAAAATAATGCATATATATATATTTAACGCAGAGAAGAAAAGGTTCATTGACTGCGGAACCATATTTTCGATGCTGATTCTGAAAATGTAGAATAAATAATACCAAGTTTTAAACGTGCTGATTTCTTCTCTTCGTGCTCACATCAACTGCTTCAATCTTCATTTTGCTGTGTTAACAAAGAATCATTCTTCTATAATAATTTGACACGAGCATGACTCACGTGCCAGTTTCTCTTTTTTCTGTTTCTTTACTTCCCATATTTTTTTTTCCTATTTCAGCAGCGTAATAAAATTGGAATTTTTTCTAATTAATTCCAACTCTGGAAAAACGAAAAAATTTTATATACAAATTAATAGGGAATAAATAATAAATAATTATTCGTAATTTAGTATGACATTAAATAAATTTTAAATAAATAAATTATAATAAATAAACTATAGTGAATAAATTATACAATTTGAATAAAATTATACATTAAAATATATTTTATTGAAAATTGTAATTCCACTTTCTTCGTACATGATTAAAAAAAAATCAATATAAAACTAAATACTTACTTATTTGATAATTAAAACTAAATTGTTTCTTTCCTATTTGATAGAAAATGTAAATTTTTAAAAAAAGAAAATTATTTCGAAGTATACCTACTAAAAAAAGTAGGTACTTTAAAAAATAGAAATTATTTACGTAAAAATTGAAAATAATTTCAGCCAAAGACGCAATTTTCTTTCTAAAAATCCGCAAATTTAATTGTCCGCAGTTGATAAAAAATTTGAATAGACACAATTTTTCAAAATAAATTGATCCGTTTTGGTTTACTTTCGAAACGCAGTATTCATATACTCTCTCTCTCTCTCTCTCTCTCTCTCTCTCTCTCTCTCTCTCACTCTCTCAATATTCGAGTCGAAAAGGGATTTTAAAAGAATAATATATTTTGCCTGAATACACGCACGTCTCGACGGTCACGTATGCGGCTCGTGCTAAATGCTCTGTTTTCTCGACCTCCGTTCACCGTGAACGCCTACACCCTTCACTAAATTAAGCGCGCACACTAATTACAGCGATTAGTATTATGTATATAAAGAAAAATTTTCTCGATTTTCCGAGAAAAAAAAATCTTTACATATACAAATACAAATTTTCTATTTTTTTTTCCTTAAAAGAGAAAAAGGATTTTAATTCCATCTCATTCCCTTTCTGTAATATTATATTAACAATATATTTTTTTCAATTTTTTTAATTACAATTTTTTGCGGTTTTTCTTTTCTTTATAAAGATTATGTAATAATAATAATAATAATAATAATAATATTTAATAACTTACGAAAATGTGGAATACGAACAATCATATGCGCGTAAAATTTTACACTCGTGTAATACTTTACTTATTTGTTTCTTTTAAGACCGTTTTTTCCCGTAAGGAATGATTTACAATTATTTTCTTTTCCTATATGTAAAAAAAAAAATTCGTGGTCTTCATGTGGACAGGATGAATATTGACGGAATCGTTAATTCACTAGTCGTCCACCAGAAGATCATCATCTAGATTTACATCCTGAAACAGAAGAGAAGGAAATTCAGTTATGGTATATTTTCGATTTTTGGAGTGGGAAATAAAATGTTATTCAATAATAATTTAGTAATCTAAATAAAAAGGTAGGTTGATTATTTTCTAAATTCAAACAATTTCCAAATACAAATTATTTTCAAATTCAAACTATTTTCTAAATTCAAAAACAATTTCTAAATACGAACTATTTTCCAAATTTAAACTATTTTCGAATTATTTTCCAAATTCAAAATATTCCCCAACTATTTTTCGAATTAAAACTAGTTTTTGAAATGAAACTATTTTCTAAATTCAAACCATTTTCAAAATTCAGAGTAATTTTCGAATTCGAACCATTTTTCAAATTCAAACTACTTTTTGGATTGAAAGTATTTTAATTCAAACCGTTTTTTTTTAATAGTTTTGAAACTATTCTTCGTACTATTCTTCGTACTATTTTTGAAACTATTCTTCATACTATTTTTCAAATTATTCTACAAACTATTTTTGAAATTACTTTTTATTATTTAATAAAACTATTTTTTATGGTAAATTTCTAACTTGCAAAAAAATAGAAGTCTGTTTTTTTATTCTAAAGACTACTTTTTAAACTATTTTCCAAATAAATTTTTATTTTTTACTAAAACTGTTTACTACAGAAAATTTCTACTTGTAAAAAAAGAAAAATCTGTGTTTTCTTTTTTCTTCTCTTCTCGTTTTTTTCTTATTATTTTTTGTTGTTGTAAAAATTACTTTTCAAACTATTTTCCGAACTACTTTTCATTATTCAAGAAAATTATTTATTCCAGAAAATTCCTACTTGTGAAAAAGGAAAATCCGTGTTCTTTTTCTTCTCCACTTTTATTTGTTGTAAAACTACTTTTCAAACTATTTTCCAAACTACTTTTCATTATTCAAGAAAATTATTTATTCCAGAAAATTCCTACTTGTGAAAAAGAAAAATCCGTGTTCTTTTTCTTCTCCACTTTTATTTGTTGTAAAACTACTTTTCAAACTATTTTCCAAACTACTTTTCATTATTCAAGAAAATTATTTATTCCAGAAAATTCCTACTTGTGAAAAAGAAAAATCCGTGTTCTTTTTCTTCTCCACTTTTTTTTATCGTAAAAACTATTTTTCAAATTATTTTCTAAACTAATTTTCATTATTTATCAATTCTTTCATAAATAATAAGAAATATTAATAAATAAATGATAATTTAATAAATAGTCATTCAATAATTCTATTTATTACAGAAACTTTTTTTTCCCTTGTAAAAAAAATGAAAAAATCTGTCTGTTCTTTTTTTTCTATTATTATTATTATTTTTTTTTGTTCTGTCGTAAAAATCAGTGGCGGATCATTACAGCAGTAGCGTGTAACTGATACAAATGGAAGAGAGTGAGCTTTTGCTGGTGCCTAAGGGCATGTTTACCCGATGGCAGTCACGGTGTATTTTGTTTACAGCGTTGTTGCCATAACACTCCACCGTTCGCCTCATAAGCGTCCCGGGGTTTTTGAGTTATATTCTGTATTAACCCCCACAAGTTCAAACCAGTTTGCTTCCACCACATTTCGCCAAGCTCTCTTGTAATTATTATTTTTCTTTCACATTATATTTCCCATATTATAGTCTTCATTGTTTTTTTTTTCATATTTCTCAAAGAAAATTTACAGCAATCCACTTTTCTTTATAACAGAAAAAAATATAAATAAACAATTCTTATCCAAAAAAGAATATGTAGCGAAAAAATAAATTTATGTTTATTAAAATTATTAAAAAGAAAAAAAAATACAAAAGTAAAAAATACAATTTAGAAAAAAGTACAGTTCAGTAAGAAAATACAGTTTAGTAACAAAAATACCTACAAAAGTAAAAAATACAACAATAAAAAGTACAGAAGTAAAAAAATACAATAGTGAAAAATATTCAGAACTAAAATAATACAGCAGTCAAAAATAGTTCAGTAAAAAATACAGAAATAAGAAAATATAGAAGTAAAAAAAACACGTAAAATAATTAAACATACAAAGAATAATTTGCAACGAGAATGTAAATTTTTCAAACTCAAAAACCGCAAAGTCGAAAATAGTAAAGAGGCAAAATTTACGTGGACTTTTCCTTGTTCGTTTTATTTCAGGACATTATGTGCGTTTAGCTGGATGGAAACCGAGACACGAGTGCCTATTTAACGATATATATGGAGAAAAGGGGGGCCCCTTGTATTGTATACTTATACATTAACGACATGTGCTCATTCAAAGGTGCCCATTGTGATAGTGTTGGGTCGCGTAAAACAAAATGCGTCAAGTAGCCTTTTTCTTTTTTTTTCTTCTTTTTTTTTAATATATATAACTCGCGCACAGAACTGCCTTTTAGTAACGCAATACTCTTCTAAAGTTACTCACATTTCTAAATTCAAAACTACTTCTTTTATTTCGCTATAGAAAAAAAAAATTAATAAAAATGTTCTCCTTTTTATTTCGTAAAATAAAAGAAAACTTACTTCATCTTCAGGAAAATCTGTACTGATGGCATGCAACAAATTAAAAAACTATTTTTTTTTTTTTCAAGAAAAGTAAGTTTTGAAATTTACCTTTTTACTTCTTTTACTGGTATTTTTTCAATTTTCATTATTTAAATTTAAAATTAACTAAAAATTTAAAAATAAAAAAAATTTCAAAGTTTGGAAAATGTTAAAATTCACAAATTGGGATGAATTGTTTTCCAAATTAATTAAAATTCAATTACACTAGTGTCGATGTTCTCGTCTAAATCCAAATCGAGATCCAGATCGTCATCGTCAACAAGAGACTTATTGGTGATTTGCTTCTCTTCCAGAACTTCCGTTTTATTAATACTTAAATTCGTCATTCTATTTGTAACGTCTGACGACATCATTTCCTCGTAAGGATTGCGTTCAGTGTTCAACTAAAATTTTTAGCAAATAATTGTAAAAATGTATTTTTTTTATATTTAAAAGTTTATTTCAGGCTTCACACTCGATAAGTAATTTTACAAAAGTATTAAAAAGTAGCTTTAATACTGAGAAAAAGAAGTAAAAATGTACCTATCTATCGAAAATTAATTTTAAGGAATAAAAAAAATTGTTTCAGTTTATTCACAAAAATTTTATTCAGTATTTCCCTGTTTTCTGATTTCCATAAAAAATATATTTTTTTTATTCTAATCCTGCTGAAAACTTCAATTCTAAATTTTTGAAAATTATTTTCTAAATTTTTATATAAAATATTCTTCAAAAAATACAATTGCGTATTTAAAAGTAATTTTTAAAAGTAAACCAATAAAATTAGTTAAAATATAAAATGAATAATTTTTTAAAGTCAAAATTTAAATGTTATTACCGTTTTACAACTGAAATTTTCAACGATTTCAATTTAATAATCTTTTAATATTATCTAAAATTTCAACTGAAATTAGTTTTTAAATCAATTCTTATTAGAAAGTTCCACTAAAATTCAATTATTTAAATACAAAAATAAATAATATTTTGAATAATTGAATGTTTTTCAGAAAATTTAATTCATATAAAGAATTTGTCAATTTTTTAAAAAAATAATTGAATTTTTGCGAAGATTTTATTTCATTTTTTTTTAAATAATTAAATTTTCTTGAAAAATTTTATTATTTGGAAAAATAATTGAATTTTTTAGGAGAATTTTATTTAATTCTTTTTTAAAATAATTTAATTCTCGTAAAAAATTAAATTCTTGAGGAACATTTTATTATTTATGCGAAAATAATTGTTTTTTTTTAATTTTCGTAATTAATTGAATTTTCATGAAAAATGTTATTGTTTGTAAAAATAATTGAATTCTTGCGGTAGAATTTTATTTATTTTTCTTTTTTAAATAATTGAATTTTTCAAAAGAATTTTATTATTTATGAAAATAATTGAATTTCTGCGAAAATATAATTTAATTCTATTTTAAATAATTGAATTCTCGTGAGAAATTTTATTATTTGGGAAAATAATTGAATTCTTGTGAAGAATTTTATTAAAATTTTTTAAAGTAAATGAAATTCTTGAGAAACATTTTTTTATTTATGCAAAATTAATGATATTTTTTAAAAGTTTAATAAATAATTGAATTTTTATGAAAAATGTTATTGATTGATAATTCAATTCCTGCGAAGATTTTATTATTTATAAAAAAAATATTGAGTGTTTGCGAAGAATTTTATCAAAATTATTTTGTGAAATTTTTTTAAAATTGTAGATATTGAAAATTATTGATTTTCGAAAAGTTTTTGAAAATGAAATCGTTTCAAAGAATTTTATTGCAACTTTTAGAATTTTTTTTATTTCATCTGTTAGCGAATTTAGACGCAAATTTCTTGAAAAATAAAGAAAAAAGTAGCTTTTAGAGCCAGAAATCTAAAAAATTATCCAAATTGTAAAAAAATTAAAAAAGTAGTAAATAATAGATTTTAGTAGATGAGTGCGAAGCCTGTTTTGTTTCTTTTTCCTACTTTCATAAATTATAGATTATTTTTGTCTGTTTTTTATTATTTTTATTAATATTAATCATCTCATAACTTACCTTGAGAGAAGGAAAAGCGGAAGCGGGAATTTTCTTCTGACTCTTCTCTCTCACGTATTGTTCAACATTAAGTGCCTCTCGATAGCCGGGGAAGAGATTTTCATATTGTTCAGGATCGGCTAAACTTTGACCAGCCTTTTCACTGACTGCCGAGAGTTTTTCCTTCCATATTTTAACGATGGATGAAATTTTACTAGGCGCATAGGCGCGTGCAAAAAATGCAGCCTCGGGAATTCTATCTGTCTTTATAAGAATCTCTAAGCATTCATCGACATCGCCAAGTAGAAATTTCGATAAAAATGCAATATTATTTTTTCCCGTTTCATTAGCAGCATTACCCAATTTTTCAATCATATTCGCATTTCCCGTACTTGTTGCCAATAATAGTAAACCACCAAAATCTTGTGCTTGATGCAAGCACTCTTGTGCTAATTGCAATTTGCCCTTTTGTGTGGCGAGCGTTGCCAATTGTCGCCATTTTTGTTGACTATTCGCCTCTTTTGCGAGTGTCAATGCCGTCTCAAGATTTCCCAATGCAAGCGCCAATTCGAATCTGTGCTCTGGATCTGTCGACACGGCGAGCGCTTGTTCTTTAAAGCCCTGGAAAAATTATACAATTAAACTATAAATATTATTGAAATTATAATTGATTATAAACCGAAAACATTTTGGACAAAAGTCTCGTAATTAAAAAATGTTATTAGTTTTGTATTACCTGCTTTTCTAAAAAGTGTGCGACACGAGTTCTGTGTTCTTTGGGAACGGTTGGAAGGACTCGATCGGCTGTTTCGAAATCTTTCCTCATTACCGCCGTTTGATATTCAAGAACGGAGAGCAATAGGGAATAGGAAACAATTGAGAGTTCTTTATCGCAGAGATATAATCTGTTGTCTCTCGGCACATAGCCCAGCAAGTACATTGGCCTATCGAGATGTGAGACGATGACAACTTCACCACCGACGAAGTAGTTTACTCTATTTACGCTATTCGTGTAAATAAAGCAGTCGCCAACCCAGAGACCAGTTTTTACAACTTCGTTCATCTCGGCCACCATCTGGTAAATTTTTATTTAATTCAATTAAAAAAAATTTAACAAGTAATTAAATTCCTGAATAATACAATTAATTTTCCTTCAATTATCAAAATTTAACAAGTAATTAAATTAATCATACAATTAATTTTCCTTCAATTATCAAAATTTAACAAGTAATTAAATTCCTGAATAATACAATTAATTTTCGTTCAATTAACAAAATTTAAAGAGGAATTAAATTAATAATACAATCCTTTCTCTATAAGAAAGCAATTAATTATTATTTTTTTTAAAAATAAATTTAATTTAATTTAAAAATTGCATTTTTTTTTGTTTTTATTTTGCGAATAATACCTCGAAAGCATCTTCAATGTCCTCTGCATTTTCCGGCGCATTTGCAACAACGTCTGCGTGATATTTGAGAATAAAGTACTGATCAGTTGTCGCCAGTGCAACGAGGGATGCATTTTCCGCCCAGTAAACATGTGTCGGTTGAATGTCAATGCGACGCACTAATTTCAAACTATCCCAATCGTAAAACGATAGGCCCGATCCAGATGATATTCCCAGCATAAAACCGCCAAAGATTCCTGGAAAATTGAATATTACAGAAAAAAATGGTAACGAAAAACAAAATACATATTGAATTAAAAAAAATAGTAACAAAAACAAAGCAAAAGAAAAAAATAGTAAAGAAAGAAAAGGAACGAAAAAAATATACTAAATAAACAAATAGTAAACACACAAAATTTAATTTAATTTAGTAAACCACAAAAATTTAATTTCGTTTCTCCCTAAAATTTCCCTGATTTCCGGATAAAATTTTGACTTTTTCCCTGAAACTAAAGAATATTCTGACACTAAAATGATTTTCACTCTAAAAATGACTAGATACTCAAAAAAATATTCTATTCCATTTATTCCATTTATCATTTCAATTAAATTATTATTTTCTCGAATTTTTAACTAAAATTCTTCTTAAAATCAATTATTTTTAATAATTTTTGATAAAGTTCTTTGAAAATTTTCAAATCCATTTAATTACAATTTAATTTTACAAAAAATTTCGATGATTCGAAAATTTTTCAGTTAAATATATTAGAAAATAAAAACTTCAAATAATATCAAAGAAAATTTAATTAAAATTTTCCAAAAAAAATTCATTCTACAGAATTGTTAGTTAAAAATATGAAAAATTGAGAATTTCAAAGATTTTAATTTAAAACCTTTTCAAAATTCAAATATTTCTACAAATTTACACTATAATGCTTTTAATATTCAATTATTAGGTAAAATTTTAATTGAAATTCATTTTTAAATCAATTTTTTTAGAAAATTTTATGAGAATTCAATTATTTGAATAGAAAAATAAATAATTTATTAAATAATTGAATTTTTCTCAAAATTGAATTTCCATAAAGAATTTTATCAAACAAATTTTTAAATAATTGAATTTCTTCGATAAATTTTAAAGTATAATTTTAACCCGTCAGCAGTCGCGCCTTTTTTAGTGTCTCACTTGCACTCTAAGAGCGCCCTATAGGTCGAGTAGTGTTGCGTGAGACTTTTTCTCAAGGCGCGACCGCTGACGGGTTAATCCAATTCCTCAAAAAATTTAATTATTCTTAAAAATTTAATTAAAAATAATTGCAATTCTGAGAAGAGTTTTATTATTTATGTTTCTTTAATTGAATTCTTTTGATTAATTTTAATAAAATTTTTAATAATAATTACATTTTTCGAGGAATTTTGATTAATATTGTATTAAATATACTTTAAATTTTGCAATGAGTTTTATTATTTATGAAAATAATTGAATTCCTAAAAAGAATTTTATTATTTATGAAAATAATTGAATCCCTGTAAAAAAATGTATGTTTTATGAAAATTTTTGAATTATTGGGAAGAAATTAAAAAAAAAATTTAATAATTGAATTCCTGTGAATTTTTTACTATTTATGAAAATAATTAAATGTTTTGTTTTATTTTTTATACAAATTTTTTTTAAATAATTGAATTCTTTTGGAAAATTTTATTAAAATAGCAGATATTGAAAATCATTGAATTGAGGAAAATTTTTGAGAATAATTGAGTTTTTGTCAAGAATTTTATTAAAATTTTTGAAAATAATTGAATTTTTACGAAGAATTTTATTAAAAATTTTCGAAAATAATTAAATTTTGGAGAAGAATTTTATTATTTATAAAGATAATTGAAATTTGGACGAAAATGTTATTAAATTTTTGTACTTTATTCTTCAAGAATAAAGATATTTAAAAAAAATACGTATTGTCAGAAGTAGAAAAAAATTCAAGGTTTTGTATTAGAATTCGTGATAATTTCATAGTTTGTGAGGCAATCAGAAAAGATACAAAAATTCAGAATTTTCTTATGATTTCTAAAAGTTTAAGTTTTTCAGTGCTTTTAATTAAAATCCCTGACTTTTCCCTGATTTCACTGACCAATTCCACTTTCCCTAATTTTCCCCTGAATTCCCTGGCCTGTGGTAAGTCTAAGTAAAGAAAAAAAAAATAGTAACGAAAAAAATAGTAAATAAAAAATAGTATCGAAGAAATTGGTAAAGAGAAAAAATAGTACCGAAGAAATTGGTAAAGATAAAAAATAGTATAGAAGAAATTGGTAAAGAGAAAAAATAGTATCGTAGAAATTGGTAAAGATAAAAAATAGTAACGAAAAATATATTAAATACGAAAATGCTAAAAAATAATATCATATCAGGGTGGCCACTTTTTTTGTAAAAAAAAATTCACGGTCATTTCCCGGTCCATTCCCGGTCATAAATTATTTTTCCCGGTCATAAATAATAACTCTGAAAATAAATTATTTAATGAAAGATTGAAAGAATTTCCTGATTTTTAGACAAAACTTTGACTTTTTCCCAAACCCTAAAAATATTTTAGTTTACTCTAAAAATAATTTTGAACTTAAATAGATTTTTTGAAATAAATATTTAATTATTATCCATTATTTTTTCATATAGTAGGTACTCAAATTTCAAAAAAAAATTCAAATTTCAAATCCTTTAAATTTGAATAATTTTTAAGAATTGCTACTGCAACTTATTAAAAATTATTTTCAAAATTTCAATTCAATTATATTCTAGAAATAACTAAAATATTTCTAAAATCCACTTGTTTACAAGACAATTTCATGAAATTTTGAATAATTTGAAAATTTTTCAATTAAATATTACATATTTAAAAACATAACTAATTTGAAAAAATGTGAATAAAAATATTTTTAAAGACTAAATTATTCAGAATTTTTAATTAAAATCTTTTACACTAAAAAATCGAAAAATTTGCTTATGAATAATTGTAAAAAAACTAATTGATATTAATGAAAAATACGGTTTTTTAAAATTTATTTTCTAAGAAAAGAAATTTTATTTATTTTTATTTACTTTATTTATTATTCAAAAATTCATTTTTATAAATTTCGTATCACTTTTGTTCTAATTAGTTCAAATTTTTAATAATTCTTATTTGTTTTGTTATAATAATAATTGCAAAAAAATTTTTAAATTGATTTATTTTTCATTATTTTATAGGATGTGAAATTTTTTCTCTTTGAAATTTTTTTGACAAATTTAATTAAAATTATATTTTGTTTAATTATTGTTAGAAATAGAAAGAATTTAAAATTAAATTTAATATTTTCTTTTTCTAAGTCTGTTATGTTGGACAACAAAATTCATAATTTTCTTATAAATTCTAGAAATTGAATATTTTTATAGTACTTTTTATAAAATTCTCTGACAAAATATAAATAGATTTTATAGAAGATCATTCAATCTTTTTTAATGAAATATAGTTAATACCTAAGTCTTAAAATAAATATTTCTATTTTTTCTCACAAAGTAATGTGTGTTTTTAAAAAAAAAATTCCAAAATCCCGGTCAAGATCAAAATTCACTGTCATTTCCCGGTTTTTCCCTGTCCAAAAAAATTCACTGTCATTTCCCGGTTTTCCCGGTTTCCCGGTCCAGCGGCCACCCTGCATATGTATAAAATAAATTACAATAAAAACTAAAAATTCTCACCATCGGCTCCAAAATCGGGCTTAAAAGTCTTCTTCTCCTTGAAATTTTTAAAAACCTTAACAGTCGTGGTGCTCTCACGAACCGCATACTGACTCGAATCGGCAGCCCATACAAATTCCGAAGCCTGACCAAAGGCCTTATTTCTTAATGCCATCGACGTGTAAATAATATATTCCCCATCGCCACAAACAACAAGGAATCGACCATTGGGATTATGTTGAATCGTCTGAGGATAAATTTCACAAGCTCCCATATCCTTCACTGCCAATGGTAAACGTTCGCCATCCATTATTTCCTCGCCAAGTGCCTTTAAATTCACCTGTTGAATTTCGCTGTGTCTTGCCCAAACAATTTTACCGCCCATCGAATCCATCGATACTGCCGGCTCTTCGCGGCCAACTTTCACCATAACACTGCCCTCATCATAACCAATTGCCACATTATTCGAACCTCTTAAACATGCAATTGTCCAAACTCTCTCGAAACCATAATTCAGTGACGACTCCAAACGATAGGTACCCGCGTGCCATATACGCACAGTTCCATCCTCCGAGCCAGTGAGAACAATTGGTAATTCAGGATGAAAGCAAACGGCGGAAATATTTTGCGTATGTCCCTCCAATGTTTGTACGCAAGTTTTATTTTGATAGTCCCATATTTTGACGAATTTATCATCGGCACCTGATATTAGATACGGTTTATCGCCACCGTGATAATAATCGACGCAATTCACACCTTTCTCATGACCCTCGAGAGTGAAATTGGCAGTCGATGAGCCCAATTGCCAAACTTTTACTGTTCTATCCAATGATGCGCTTGCAAAGGTATTGTTATCCTTTGGATTGAATACTATTTGCATGACGTAGTGCGTGTGACCTTCGAATATTTGCTGGCAAAGCCATGATTTCTCCCAGTTCCATAGTTTTATTGACATATCGTCTGGAAAATGGTAAGTTTTAATTTATTTTTTATTTTATAATCTAAAATTATTGTTCCTAAAGCGAAAACAAAAGTTTTTCCTTTTTAAGAAAAAATACACAGGGTGTCTACTATTATCGTTTAACAAAATTCCCGGTGTTGTCCTAATTTTTCCCGGTTTTTTTTCATCAAATTTAAATTTATTTGATTTCGAACATAAATAAATCTACAAATAGCTTCAAAAATTTTTATTAGAGTTTTTATGAACAATTAAATTCTTTTAACGAGTTTCTTTAAATTTTCTGAAATTAAAGTTTTTTTCAATAATTTTAATTAAAAATTTTAAAAATAATTGAATTAAACAAAGATTTTTTAAAATTTTTAACATAATCTTGTCTGTTCATAATTATAATTGAAAACTTGATTAAAATTTATTGATACTAATTGAATTTCTGCAAAGAATTTGACTAATTATAAAAGTAATTGAATCCTTCCAAAGAATGTTAATATTTATGAAAATAATTAAATGTTTGCGTAGAATATAATATTAAAATTTTTGAAAATAATTAAATTGTGGAGAACAATTTAATTATTTTCAAAGATAATTGAAATTTTGAGAATTTAAAAAAAATTGTAAACATAATTTAATTTCTTCGAAGAATTTTATTACTTTTGGAAATAATTGAATTGTTTTTTTAGAATTTTATGGAATTTCATGAAAATAATTAAATTCTTGTGAAGAATTTTTTTTTTAAAAATAATATTCAGAAGAATTTAGTAAATCTGAAGACTTTTGCTATTTATGGAAATAATTGAATTCTGTAGAAGAATTTGTTTACAGTTTTTAGATATAATTGCATTTTTTCGACGAATTTTAATAAATTTTCTAAGAATAATTACATTTTTCGAGGAATTTGATTAAAATTGTATTAAAAATAATTGAAATGACTAAAATTAAAATTTTTAAATTCTAAAAAATACTTTTTTTATAATTAAAATTTAGTACTAGTAATTAAAAATAAACAATTTCTAAAAAATACATTTTTTTTAGAATTTTAAATCCTAGTAAATAAAAGTTAAATAATTTTTTCTAATAAATATTTAATAATTACAATTTTTTTAAAACAATAATAAATTTATTGTTCAAAACCTTCTGAAATTAAATTATGTTTGAAATTTGCAACTGTTATTAACTATATTAATTTCTTGTGAAGAATTTTATTCAAACTTTTTTAAATAATTGATTTCTCGAGAAAAATTGTATTATTTATGAAAATAATTGATTTCTTGTGAAGAATTTTATTCAAATTTTTTTAAATAATTGAACTGCCATAAAAAATGTATTAGTTGTGAAAATAATTGAATTCTTAAGAAGAATTGTATTGAAAATAATTGAATTATATAGGAAAATTTTATTAATTAAATCTTGTAAAGAATTTTGTCAACATTTTCTTAAATAATGGAATTTTTAAAAAAGTTTATTTAAATTTTTCGGAATAATTAAATTTCTCAGAGCTTTTTTTTTAATTTTCTGAATATATAAGGATTCCTTCAAGAAACTTCATTTAAAAATTAAAAATAATTGAATTGGTGCGAAGAAATTTATAAAAAATTGATAAGTAATTGAATTCCTGTGAAATTTTTATCCAATTTTTTTTTAAATTAATTGAATTCTTTTGGAAAATTTTATTAAAATAGTAAATATTATAAATAATTGAAATGAGGAAATTTTTTGAAAATAATTAAAATTTTGCCAAGAATTTTATTAAATTTTTTGAAAATAATTGAATTTCTGTAATTAATTGTTCTTCAAATTTCTATTTAAATTCGTTAAAAATTTATATTTTCTAAAATTTCAAATTGAAACCTGTCAAGTTCATCTATTTATGAAGATTGTAAATGCAACTCTTTTGAAATCCAATTAATTTTGAAACTTTTGAGTAAAATTATTCATTAAATAATTTATAAGTAATAATTTTATGATAGTTCTTTAATAATTAAATTATATTGAAAGAAATTATTATTAGAAATAGAAAAAATTGTAGGGTTTATATTAGAATTCTTTGCAATTTCATAGTTTATGAGGCAAACAAAAAAGACACCAAAATTCAGAATTTTCTTATAAATTCTAAAAATTTAATTTTTTCCAGTACTTTTAATAAAAATCCCTGACTTTTCCCTGATTTCCCTGACCAATTCGAATTTCCCTGACTTTTTCCTAAATTCCCTGACCTGTGGCAATCCTGTAAATTTACATTTAAAAATTTTTCTTTAAAACTTTTGATAATTCAATTATTTTGAAAATTTGTAATTAAAATTTTTGATAATTCAATTATTTTGAAAATTTGCAATTAAAATTTTTGATAATTCAATTATTTTGAAAATTTGCAATTAAAATTCTTCAAAAGTTGATTTTCAAAAATTCTAACAAAATACTTAAAAAAATTAATAAATTTTACAAAATTTCAATTATTAAAAATGTTTTTAAATGTATATTTCAAAAATTTAAGTAGTAAAATGATTCAAAAATAATTTTTGCAAGATTTGTTTATAGTTATTTTTCGTAATATAAAAATTGAAATGATTCACATTTAATACTAAAAAATATGATATTTTGTTGTAATATTTGGAAGAAAAATCGAGAAAGTCGCAATTTTTGAAAATAAGTCGAAAAAAATCTCAATTTTCTAAATTTTGCTGACTTTATTGACAAAATTTTTGTTTTACTGACATTTCCCTGACTTTACTGACATGTGGCCACACTGATTATAAATGCTGTGAATTTCACCGATTTATAGTTTTTTTTTTAATTCTTTTGGAAAACACCGATACAATGCATAGTTAAGATTAAAAAGTTAAATTAATGAAATTAGTTAAAAAAAGATTAAAGATTAAAATTAAAAAAATACGTACCACTACTGGTAAGTATACAAGGTGCCGTTGGATGTACGGCAATACATCGTACATAATCACTGTGTGCATCAAAAGAATGTACGCGTTCGAGAGTGTTGTAATTAAAGACTCTCACTTGCATATCATCGGAACCAGTGACAACCCAATTTTTTCTCGAAACAAACTTCGCCGCTCTCACTGGTAAATCACAAACTTCAAAGGTCTTCACCAAAGTTTGCGTTTCATGATTCCAAATATTTACATTGCCTTGATATAAAGAACAAAGCATCCATGGTTCTGTTGGATGAAGATCGACACTTTTCACTCGATCCGATCTCGCTGTCAATTTACGCTTAATATCCAAACGTAAAGGCTGTAAAACAATTTTTTTTTCAATTCAAATTCAATATTTTCCTAAAGATTTAAATTCAATACTAATCAATGTGGAAAAGTTTAATAGCAAAAACAAAAATCAATCGTCACTGAAAAGACGAGAAGTTGACCAAAAAGGTAATAATTATTTAATTATAACAATTATCCTTTGGAAATAGTGTGAAAAAACCCCTCGTACAGTATGTTGTCATTTAGAAAACAATTTCCAATATAACAGAAATTAAAAAAACGTTTCGAATTTAAAGCATAGATTTTCAATTATGGGAAAATTTATGATAACATTAATCGGAAAATGTTTTACAAATCCAAAATAAAGTCAATAGTGAGTTTGACGTGTCAAAAAAGCAACTTTAGCAAAAAAGTTGTCAGTGAATGTGCCGGTTTCTTTATAAGCAAAGTAAAAACACTTAAACTCCTAATTTCATTCTACATACCATTTTTAATTGATGATCGAACAATTTTTTTCGTCACGATATTCAATTCAATTTGAGAAGAAAACTATTTATTTTATTTTTGTATTAAAACAACTGTTTTAAACAAGATTCGACAGCCATGAAGTTAGGACGTGGCTCATCAGTCAAACATGGCGATCTCCACACACCTTTTTACAGAAGAATAACACACAAATCTGCAAACAAATATAATATTCTAATAAACAAACAAATTAGATTTCAATCAATTATTAATTATTACTAATCAAATTACATGATTCTAAGATAAATTTGTCTGATGCAATTAAAAAATATTCGTAGCACACAAAAAAAGTCACGTCAAAATTTTTCTATATTGAAACGTGGATAATATGGGTTAGGTACAACAGCGCTTTAAAATCGACTGGTGACAATTTTTGGGAGTTTATTGATTATTTACTTAATCGGTAAGCGTGTGCACAACACATCCGATAAGAAAGAATAAGTCACGTGATTTCAGTAAGTTTTAAAACCTTCCCTGGTTTTTAACCGTTTTTTCTTCTCTCTCAAAAAAAAAAAAAATTCGGGATATTTTTGTCTTTTTAAAATTAGATTTGTTCGTGAACAAAATTTCTTATTTTGGTGGTTTGTTCATTTTGAAATGATTTCATTTATAAAATGTTTGTTTACTCCGTTTTACTCTTATCACATAACCTTAATCTTTGACAATTTATATATTAAACCGCGATAAGATGTTTTTATTATAAAAAATAAGATTACAAAATTAAACGTAATAATCAAAATTGAAAGTATAAAATGTTCCAAAGATTTCTTGGTGGTAATTTAAAGAAAATTTCACAAAACTGGTGAGTTGAAATAGTTTTCAATTTTTGAATTTAGATTTTTGTCAATTTTACTAATGTTACCAATTTTACAAATTTTACACTATTGAGAGTTTTTATTTTAGTTTCTCGTGTCATCTGTTAAGATTACAAAATTCCGATTTAGATTCAATCAAAACGAGGAAAATGTCAACTTTTTTTGAGAGGAAAACACAATTACGGGAAGTTTTTAACGCTGGAATAAAAGCAGTTTTGCCGCAGAATCTAATAAAGAGTAATGTTACGATTGTTGAGGACTGCTTGCAAATTGGCAATGAAAAATTTACTCTGACAGAAAATATTTATTTAATTGGTTTTGGAAAAGCTGTCATGGGAATGGCAATTGCCCTTGAAAGTTTACTCGGCGATCGTTTGAAGAAAGGAATTGTCAGTATTCCAACAGGTTCGAAAAATGATATTTGGAAGGAGGAAAATTTGACGAATTTTCCAAAATTGTCAGGTGTTATTGAATATCGTGAAGGTGCTTTACACAATCAACCTGATAAAAATTCTTTAGAAACAACGCACGATATTTTGGATTTAGTCGAAGGATTGAATGAAAATGATACGCTTATTGTTCTCATCTCCGGAGGAGGTATTTTTTTATTTATTTACTTATTTATAATATGAATTTCATAAATTTCATAAATATAATTTTCTTTAAAGTTTTTCAACTATTTTCGACTATTTTCAAAAAATTTGATAAACTAATTTTGATAAAATGAGACTTTTCCGTTTTTTCATTTGCAATAAACTTTCGAATAATTAAAATTCTGTAACATTAAATTGAAGACAATTTAATTTCAGAAGATTAAATTAACTTATCACAATCATTAAAACTTTTTCATTTAAATAATTATTGAATTCTTAAAAAACTTTCTGAAAATTATTTAAAAATAAATTTTAATAGTTCATTTTGAAAAGAATTTTAAATAAAAATTCTAGGCAATAATTGAATATTATAAATTCTAGTTTTCTTGTTGACAAATTGTTGTAATAAGTTTTTATTACTTGTTTGAAATAATTAAACTAGAAGTAAAAATTTAATTCCAATTTTAAAGAATTTAGTTTTTTGAAAAATTCCAGTTTACATTTTATTTTAAATCAGTTGAATTTATAACTTTCAAATAATCGAAATTTTGTAATATTAAATTGAAAACTATTTAATTTCAGAAGAATTTGTCAAAATAACTTTTTCTTTTAAATAATTATTAAATTCTCGAAAAACTTTCTGCAAATTGTTTAAAAATAAATTTTAATAGTTCATTTTGAAAAGAATTTTAAATAAAAATTCTGGAGAATAATTGAATATTACAAATTTTAGTTTTCTTGTAGAAGAAATGTTGTAGTGAAAACTTGTTAGAAATAATTTAATTTTTAGTAAATTTAATTCAAATTCTAAAGAATTTAATTTTTCAAAAAATTTCAGTGCAAATTTTATTTTAAATCAGTTAAATTTATGAATTATATTATTATTTAATCAAAAAACTTTCGAATAATTGAAATTTTGGAATATTTAATTCAAAACAATTAAATTTTATTAGAAGAATTTTAAGTAATTAAATTTTGGAATAAGTTCTTGATAATTTTTGAAAATAATTAATTTAAAAATCAATTTTAATTTAAAAAATCTAGAGAATAGTTGAATATTAAAAAAGTGCTATTAAATAGTTGTTTTAAAGAAATAATTGAATTTTGAGTGAATTTAAATAAAAATTGCAAAGAATTTAAAATTTCGAAAAATTTTAGTTTCAAGTGTTTTTTTTTAAATTAATTGAATTTGTGATTATAATATTTTTTAATAAAAAAAACTTTGAATTCTCGAATAAGTTTTTTAAAATTATTTAGAAATAATTAATTATTAATTTACAAAAGAATTTTATTTAAAATTGTAGACTAAATTTAATTAAAAATTCGGTAAAATTGATTTTTTTCGAAACATTTTAGTTTAAATTTTCTTGAAATTAGTTAAAATTGTGAATATAGGATTATTTAATCAAAAACTTTCAAATAATCCAAATTTTCTAATAATGCATAAAAAACAAATTAATTTTAGAAAAATTTGAAAAGAACTTTGTATTAATTTTTTAAATAATTGAATTCTCGAATAAATTTCTGAAAATTATTAAGAATAATTTATTTAAAGAAGAATTTTAGTCAAAAAAAAATTCTAGAAAATAATTGAATTGAATTTTGAGTAACTTTAATTAAAAATTTAAAAAAATTTAATTTTTTGTAAAATTTTAGTCCAAATTTTTTTGGAAATTAGTCGAATTTGTGATTAAAATATTTTTTAATGAAAAAACTTTGGAATAATTGAAATTTTCTAATATTGAATTGAAACAATTGAAAAAACAAAATTTTGTAATATTAATTAAAGTTAACGGAATTTTTGAATAGTTTAAAATTATTGAATTCGCGACTAACTTTCTTAAAATTATTTTAAAATAATTATTTTACAAAAGAATTTTATTTAAAATTATGGAGGATAATTGAATATTGGGAAAATGTAGTAAAAAGTTTTTAGAAATAATTGAATGTTTTGTGAATTTAATTAAAAAATCCAAAGAATTTATTTTTTTGCAAAAATTTTAGTTCAAATTTTGTTGAAATTAGTCAAAATTGTGATTTAGCCAAAAAAAATTTAAGAAAATAATTGAATTGAATTTTGAGTAAGTTTAGTTAAAAATTCTCAAGACTTTAGTTTTTTAGAAAAAATTTTACTTTAAATTGGTTTGAAATTATAATCTGTGAATATAAATCATTTAATTAAAAAGCTTTCGAATAAACAAAATTTCTTAACATATTAATATTAATTAAAATTAATGGAAGTTTTGAAGAATTTAAAATGAACTTTGTTTAAAATAATTGAATTCTCAAATAATTTTCCAGAAATTTATTAAAAATAATTTATTCAAAAAAGAACCAAAATTAAGAATTGCAGATAATTGAATACTGGAAAAGTTGTAGTAAAAAATTTTTAAAATAATTAAATTTTAACTAACTTGAATTAAAAATTCCAACGAATTTAGTTAATCAAAAACGTTCGATTAATAGAAATTTAGTAATATTGAATTGAAGACAATTGAATTTTTAAAGAATTTTAAGTGAACTTTCTTTTAAATAATTGAATTCTTGAATAAATTTCTGAAAGTTATTAAAAATTATTATAAATTATTAATATAGATAATTTATTTAAAGAATAATTTTAATAAAAAATTCTAGAAATTAACTGAATTTGGAAGAAGTTTTTGTAACAATTTTTATAGAAATAACTAAAGTTCAGAAGGATTCGGAATTAAAAATGTTTGACAATTTCAATTAATAATATTTAAATATCAATTAAATTATCAATCAATATTGAATAATAATATCTAAATACTCATTTAGAAATATTGAATAAATTTTGAAGAAAATTCAAGAAAAGAATTTAGAAGAATTATATAATTGTAATTTCGAGAAATAATGGAAGTTTTATTTATTTATTTCATCTTTTATGCTCCTAGGGTTTAAAGTTTTATTATTGAAATACCTATATTTTTCTGTTTTAAAAACTCTTATAACAATTTTTAAAAGTAATCGTGTCTTTTTAAGAAAATTATTACTTATTTTAATTTAATAATATAATTTTTCAGGATCAGCTCTTCTGTTCATGCCACGGCCCTTAATTTCCGCCGAGGAGAAGCAGGAATTTTGTAAAAATCTCCAAAATTCCGGCGCCAATATAATGGAATTAAATACAGTGAGAAAAAAATTGTCAATGGTAAAAGGAGGTGGTTTAGCAAAAATTGCATATCCAGCTACGATAATAAGTCTTATAATATCTGATATAGTATCAGATCCAATTGATTTAATCGCAAGTGGTCCAACTGTTTTCAAAGCGAAACCTCCGAAAGAAGTTTTGGAAATTGTGAAGAAATACGATCTCTTGAAGGACGTCGAGGGCGGTTTAAAAGCTCTCCTAAATTCTAAGGAATCAAAGGAAAAAAAAGAGTTTCTCAACAAAAAAAGCAATTTAAACACGTACACAATGTTATTATTGGAAACAATTTAATTGCCATGAATGCAGCCAGAGAGGCAAGTTTGAGAAAAAATCTCCAGTCGATTATTCTACGCAACGATGTTCAGGGTGACGTTCAACTTGTGAGTAACGCTTACACGCAATTTACATTCCTCGTTTGTCTCGCTTTGGAAAAATTAATAGATCGTCGGAATTTTTTCGAAAATATCAAAAGTGATGCAATTCTCGGTGTCGATGCGCGAAAGGTCGATGAAATTTTCGATGTTCTGGAGGAGAATAGCGGACAGGGGATTATTTTAATCGGTGGCGGTGAGCCGACTGTAAAAAGTAATGGGTTCCGGAAAAGGAGGAAGAAATCAAGAACTTGCACTCTACTTTTCGCTCGATTGGCTCCTGAAAGTAAAAGAACATCCGAATTTATCAAAATATGAAATTATTATTCTAAGCGGTGGTACTGACGGTCAAGATGGTCCAACCGATGCGGCTGGTGCTTTCGGTTATCCTGCGATTGCTCCCATAATTCTTGATTTACAGGAAAAAGTAAGAAAATTGGAAAAAATTCGAAAACTCCCCCCGGGGGATTTTAATACACCATTTGTTGATTTTAATCTGGAAAATATGCCAAAAAATTTGGCGTCAATCGCCAAGGAGATTGAAAATCTAATTCCCATGAATGTTCTCAAGGAAAATGACACATACAATTTTTATTCACGTTTCAAGAAGGGTGAGGATTTAATTAAAACTGGACTCACTGGTACAAATGTAATGGATCTTCATCTTGTTTACATAAGAAAACGACAGTGCGAGTGTTCTATTGATTTTTCAAGTGAGAGCAAAACTTTAAATCTATTTGATGAACATGATTTGCATAGTCGTTTGGAGAGTGATGAAATTATAAAAGAGAAAGTGTCAATCGATAAGGAACTCGAATTAATAAATATTAACATTGACGATGTTGATGATAATTTTGAATCGACATGTCGCAGTAGAAAAGACAGGAAATAATTGCTGGAAATTAATGGAATTCTTTATGAATGGCAAAGAAAAAAACAATGCGGAAAATTATATTTTGTCTCTATTTTCTGTAAGTAAATTTGGAATTTTAATATTTTATACTTAAATATTTTATATTTAAATATTTTATATATTAAATATATTTTAATAATTTTTATTCACTTAGAATTTATACATTAATTACTATCTTATTATCAAGTAGTTTTTGTACATTTTCAAATGCATGCTGTTAACACATTTTATGCATAAACGAATTTTTAAATTGTAATTATAAAAGAATTCATTTTTAAATTGACTGATGAATTCAATTTTTAAAGAATTTTTAAAGAATTAAGAAAGTGATTAAAAATGTTGATTTTAAAACTAACTGAAATTTAAAATTTATATTAAAACAAATTTAATTAATTTCGATTCAATAAAATTTTTAATTTAATCTAAATAATTTTGATCTAATTTAAAATTTAATTTAAAATTTAATACAAAATTTAATTTAATTAACTTTAATAGATATCTACAATGTAAAATTAATATTTTTATATATTTGTTTCAAATTCGATACGAAATTTAATATTCCTAATATATTTAATTTAATTTAATTCATTTTGATTTAATACAAAATTTAATTTTTATTAATTATTTTCAATGTAATATATAAAATTTAATTTAATTTAAATTAATTAAAAATGTAAAATAAATTTAGTTTAGTTTGATCAATTTTAATTTAAAATAAAATTTTTTTAAATTCATTTTAATAAGTACAATGAAAAATTAATTTTTTTCTATTTGTTTGAAATACTTTATAAACTTTAATATAAACTTTAATTTAATTTAATCAATTTTGATTTAAAACAATCAATTTTAATTTAATTAAAGTAGTTTTAATTAAATCAAATTACTTTGAATGTGATATAAAATTAATTTTCTTCGCTTTGTTTAAAACATTTTTCGAAATGAATTAATAGGACGGATATGGACGTGAATGAAAAGTTCACAGTAACCACTTCTATTTTGATTTCCCTTAAAAAACAAAATGCAGAAAACTATTGAAGCAATTTTCACTTTTCTAAAATTCTTTTAAAACTTTTCTCTCATTTTTCGAAAAAAAAGATAAAAAATTGGATAAAATGGCAATTTCTCTATAAACGTTATTGAAACAGGGAAAAAAGATTCCTTTTTAAAATTCAATATGTTAAAAACGAAATAAGAGATTTTTAAAAAATCTTGAATAGTATAAAATAGCTTGTTGATTGCTTTCTTGTAAACTTTGGCGTTAAAAAGTTTTTTTTACGATTAGTATTTAAAATACTTTTGTTTTATGTCTTTTGACAAAAAAAAGAGAAAAAGTCTTTTTTCTTTTTTATAAATCCCAACTAAACAGATGATGTTTCACAAGCATGTCACGAACTCCATCTTTTAATGGCTGTGATTGTTCCTTCTTTGGTGGCAATTCCCAATCAGGATTCAAATTAAAAGCAAATTGACTGAGTATTCTTAATTCACATTTCACCTGGACCCATCCGGGACTATTGACAAAACTCCATGGTTGATACCTGAAAAGGAATTAAATTACTGTATAAAATTTTTGTTTATTGATTTTATTTGTCGATTTTTTATTTTAGAAAAATAGTCATTAAAATATCTATTTTATTTACATTCCACGGTACAAATTAATCAATAAAAATTATAATAAATCAATATTAATTTTAATTATAAAATTTATTTTAGAATTCTAAAAACTCATTCAACTAATTTTACAATTTATTGAGTATTGTCTATTTCATTCTTTTTGAATATTTTTTGAATTTCTGTGTCAGTTTCAAGCTGGAGAGTTTTTACTTTGAAATATTTTAAAGTTAATAATTTAAATTTATGTCTATTTACTATTTTTTTTATTAATCTATTAAAGTTCTGAATAGAAATAAAAATAAGATTTTAATCATTTTAGATAAAGGATTGAATACCATTTTTGCACGATTTCAACGCAGGAGCACAAGACCTCGAGCCAGAGATGAAGAACTTGTTCATTGAGTCCGAGACAAATGAGAGAACGTAATTTAACATCCATTTGGGCGTGTGCATTGTCATGGCTTAAATTAATCGATTGTACACAACGATAGAGCAACTGAAATTTAAACAAGGTGAGTTTAATTATAATTTTAAAATTATTTTAAATTTTGATAATTCAATAGTGTTGAATTAGAAAAGGGAATATTTTGTTTGAATATTTACCTCTTCCGGTGTGAGAACTTTGCCATCTTCGTCGAGTCGATAAGTTTTACAGAGAACCAATCGACTGTAAACGGAATTAAAATCCTTTTCAACTTCTCGCGTTGATGCCTCCTCAATAAAAAGCCATGGATGACATGGACCACCTAGAAAGCTCGGCTTTCGCATTCCCTGCTCTAAAACGGCTTTTATTGCCGGACATAAAGTTCCTCGCACTAAATCCGTCACCGTTTCACTCACAGTATCATCCCCGGCGCAAGTATATTGTTTACTTCGCTCGTCCAATAGTTCGACAAACTTTGCGGGAAACCAACCTTTAATTGGAAAATTCATTGTCTTACATTCGTTTCGTTTTAAATCATTTTTGTTTCATTTCTAATTAAAATTCAAAATTATAATTTCATTTATAATTAAAACTAAATTTATAATTTCATTTCAAATTACAATTTAATTTGTAACTATGCTTAAAATTATAATTCAATTTGTAATTATAAAAATTATAAATTAATTTATATTTTCTTTTTTCGACTCGTATTTAAAATTTTCTTTACCTCGTAATCCATTTAACTCTCCCACCCAGCAGTGCTCATCTTTCTGACTAATTATCGTGATTATGTCATTTTTTCGAAAACCCAATTCATCATCATCGTGTCGTTCAAAATCTATTTAAAGAAAATCTATTAAATTTTATTCTATAAATTAAAAAAAGAAATTGGAAATTATTCCATAAATTTGAACAAGAAATTAAAATTCTCACCCAATAGAGCCTTTGCTCTCCTCTGACGGATTCGCGAGACATTCACATAATTATCGTGATCCTTAGCGTGACTCTCCATCATATAATCGGCGACTAATGATGAATTACTTAATTTTGGATCGAGATTCATAAAATGTCGTGCCACTTGTAAAATTGCTTCTCTAAGATCGACTAAAAGTTCTGTATAAAAAAAAAATTTTCTCCTATTAACTGGAAACTATTAAATAGCAATATAATTACTAACAAAATAATTACATTTTCGTAAAGTTCTTCGTTAATTAAAAATAAAATCAATTCTGTATTTTAAAATCGAGAATATTGATGGGATAAATTTTTTACCTGTTTGGCGAATATTTTTACATTTGGCATCGTCCTCTGAATTGTCATTGCCAAATAAAATTGTTTGAATTACTGATTTACTTCTTTTCATTTGACGACGATTGAGATGTTGTTTTGGTAAATTTGGTGACGCGTCTGGATTTCCCACAAGTCCACCTTGATCGACCATTAAATATGCCAAATGCCGTCTTCGATGTGTGTCAACCAAAACGTCTGTCAATGATCCACTGACTTCCATAGAAACCTGAATTATTTTTTTAATTAAAATCACAAAAACAAGGTCAAAAAAACAATTCGATTTTCAATCGATTGATTATTATAATTTTATTACATTCTATTTACTTTGCTACTTAAATATAAACTAAAAAAAATTAACCAAAATAAACTTAAATTGAAAGAAAATCAATGGACAATTTAAATACAGAAAATTTATAAATTAAATTGAGAAATGCGATAAACATCGACAATTTACCCTAAATAATTGATCGACATCGTCAATGTCCCCGGGAATATCCGATAAGGCATTGAAAATTTGAGCGGAATTCTCAACTTGCTTAACTTCACCCTCTGAAAAAATATTCAGACATAATTATTTAATTTTTCTTTTCTTTCATTTAATTTTATTTTTCTATAAGAAATTCATTTTTCCAGCGGTTGAATAATTTTTCAAAAAAGTTAATTCATTTTTCTACTGGTTAAATAGTTTTTCTATTGGTTCGTGAATTTTTCTACTAAATAATTAACTTTTCTGTTAGTTAACTAATTTTTTTTGCTGGCTGGCTAATTAATTCCAATTTTTCATTATTTCTTTTTTCCCTTTTTTTTGCAAATAATTTTATTCAATAAAAAGAAATTAATATTTTTCACCTTTAATTTTCAGCATTCCGAGGGTGACTTGAAAGAGAACAATGGAACCGTCAAAGAGAAAAAGATCCCAAATTCGGAGAAGAATTTTCATATGTACAACTGAGGCAAATAAAGTGAGGAACCAATTCAATGATATGAGACTTAATTCAATGTCGTGTTGAACAAGAACGTGATCAATGTCCGGTAAGTAGTTTGACACTAATGTTCGTAAAACTCTTTGGTCTGCTTGTAATCCTAGAAGAATTATATTTTTATAATATTAAAGAAAGAAAAAGTTTTTAAAAAATAGTAAAATATTGAGAAATACAATCCATCCTCTATGAGGAAGCAAAAAAGAAAAATAAAAACAATTTTTTTAAAAAGAAGGTTAAATATTAAGAAAAGAAAGAAAATTTTTACCTAATAATGTGGAGGAATAATAAGAAGCTGGTAACAAATCTTCAACAATCGTTGCCATCATCCAAAATGCATCTTCCTCCTCTAGTAATAATAATAATGACGCTGCTATTGTTCCGGTTCCTTGGCAATATCTATTGCGAAAAGAAAAATTATTATAACTAATTATTTTAAAATTTAGTATATGTTGAAAAAAAATGAAAATTAAATGAAATTGCCATAAAATTAAAATTTAATTAAAACAAAATTAAAAATAGAGTTTAAAATTCGAAATTTCTTTCAATAATGATAGTGAAGGAATTATTTTTGTTTGAAACATTATTTTTACGATTAAATTTTACCCAATTTCGGGATAAAGCCAAGCGAGGCCTCGCATTAATCTTCTTAATCGAGGAATTCCGGTGCTGTGCAAATGGCTGAAACATGCATTCGCAGGCATTGTACGTAACAAGTCTTTTTCAATTTGTTTACTTGTCATTAGAGCGTCATTACTCGAGGCTTTTACAATATCTCGATAGGTAGTTTCCGAAGAAATTTTCTTCTGCAACGCTCCTGAAAATGAAGGAAAAAAATTTTTTATTTACAGAAAAAGAAAATTAAACATAACTTTATTAAAAATTACCACTTCATCAAATTACTTTTTAAATGTATCTTTAGGTATAAATTTAACTCCTATTTTTTTATAAATAAACAAAATTAAACTATTAAAAATTACGATTTTATGAATCTATTTTTAAATATATTTTTTAATTTAAATTATCAAATTTTCGTAAATTTGATTCCTTTTTTTTCTACAAAGTTTTCAATTTTTTTGTTCTTACCGGACATTCGCATCCAAATTTGTGGCCGAAGCGAATGAGGAATTCCTTGATGTACCATTTCACGTAATTTATCACTTCTCGGCAATCTTCTGTCGACATGCTGCCATGATAATTCAGATACTTCTTTATTGTGACTAAATTCTAAAAGTGTCACCCACTGTAATCTAATTTAGAGGGAGAGAGAGAGAATATTAATTAATTATTGACATTTCTTAAGAATTAAAACTATTATTATTTTTAGCAAACCTGTGCTGAGGGTCTTCGACGAAAGGAACACCTAATAATTTTTTCGAACTTTGCTCTGGTCCATCTTCCTCGTCCACACGAAATCCAAATTCGTCAAATCTATAATCATAAAGTAGTATTTTTTACCGATTTGTATTTTGTTTTTAATTTATAGTTTTAATTACCTATGAAGTCAGAATTATTTTTAGTTTCTATTTTTCAATTTTAGTTTCGTTCTTTAACTATAATTTTTACTTCAATTTACTTTTACTCTAATTTTTTAATTCAATTCTTCCACCATAAATTTTTTACTTCAATTCTTTAGCTCTAAATTTTTACTTTAATTCTTTTGCTTTAGTTTTTCGACTTTGAAATTTTTACTAAAATTTTTTGGAATTATTTTAGCTGGATGAAAATACCTGTACTCCGGTTGGGAATTCGGATCGTCTGGTTGATTCAATTTTGCTAAAATATCCTGAGGCCACATTGAGGGTGTAAGAGCCGAAAAAGGACCTCCAGGTGCAGGAGATAAAACTTCACCTGACAATCCCGCTCCTTCCAATTCGTACTCATCGTCCGAGACCGCAGTTTCTACCTTCTTCTAAAGGTGAGAATAAAATTTTAAAATATTATTTTTCACAAACGAAAACACCAGATTAGATTACAAAAACAATTTTGCTATATTGCTAAAATAAATTATCTATTAGTTAGAAAAGTTGAAAGTAAAAAAGAAACGTTTAGCACTAAATACTTTTCTAAACATTTAAACTTGCTATATTGCTAAAATAAATTATCTATTAGTTAGAAAAGTTGAAAGTAAAAAAGAAACGTTTAGCACTAAATACTTTTCTAAACATTTAAACTATTTTCGCTCTTTTCTTTCCTGTTTTTAAAATGTAAAAATATAAATTACATTATGATCCTCTCTGCCAACATAACCTTCATGGTTTCGTACTTGTAGAAGAGACTTCGCAATTTCCATTTCTCAATTATTTTTTCCCCGCTTAAAATAACACCTCTAATTATATTAACGCGTATTTTGTTTTTTAATTCCTCTCGTTCCACATGTTATTGATTATTGTTTACGGGACAGTTTAAAAGCCAGAAAGTTTTGACAGATTATTATATTTGATGATAAATAGAGAATTTTCGAATAAAATTCACACGCTGTTGGGAAAATGTCAGGTCACTGATTATTTTAAATGGTATTAATATACACAATCACAATATAATAATATACTATAGCAGATGCTCCAGATGGATATTTAAACATAATACAGCATAATAACGAGTGACGTATGTAGACGTGTAACTAATAAATCCTACTATGTGTGTGTTTGTGTGCATATAAATAGGGCCGTATACATTTACATTTTATCCCATGGAGAATAAAAATTAAATTCGCTAAAAAGATTTTTTTTCCTCTTCTTTTTCTCAAAGTGAAAAAAAATTTCTTTGCTTCTAATGTGTCAGTAATTTGAGAATAAAACGATGTTTTATTTTTATTCTTCTCCAATTTACTCCATTTGGAAGAAAAGTTTTTTTTCCCTAATCGACCAGACTATTCAGGGACGTGTCTATTTTTATAATAACCAGGGTTCAGTGAAAACTGTCACTTGCATAATTTTTTCGAAAAAAAAATTATTTTCCACTGCATCAGTCATTTTTGAACAAAGGAAAGAAATTGAAAATTTTAAATTAATATAAAATATTTTATGGAATCAATTATATAATTAATTTTTCTATTAATCTCGAATAAAAATTCCAAGAATTCCTTCTCAAAGAATTTTATTATTTAGGAAAATATAACTAAATTCTCCCCATTTATTAAAATTTATTAAAATTTTAGAAAAAAATTGAATTCTTTCGAGGAATTAAATTAAAATTGTTTTGAAAATAAAATATGAGCAGTAATAATTAATTTTGTACTTATTAAGTGGATTTTTTAAATTTTAATTATGAAATTATTTAAAAAAAAAATTATTTTATTATTATATTTAAAAAATTATTTTATTATTATTTAAAAAATAATAATTTTGTTAAAGTATTTAACTCATAGTACATTATTTCTTCATAATTATTTCTTTTGTCGATATAAAAAAAAGGGGTGAGGGTTCAATATTCTTTCGTTACGTAACTGACTCTTTTGAAAACCGGTCTAATTTTCGGCTGATATTATATAAGTTATTATTGATATTTTCCATTATCTAATTAAATTTTCGTGAAAATTATCAAGATTATTGCAAAAATTCGGTACTTTCTTGAAAGGAATAATAAAATGATGAAACATGTGGTAGGGATTGACAAACTTGTCTAAACTTGCTCAGTTCGCTTGACTCGTTTCAAGAGGCTGTTTGCCGGTACAACGAAACTAAAAAAAATCACGTTCTGACTCTTCAAATAGTTTCGATTTTAAACTCGTCTGATGCAACTTTCGCGAATTAAATCAAATAGAGAAGACTTTATTGCAAAGAAAAAAAAATTCATCGGTCAGTGAAATTGAATACGGATAATTTAATGAATTAAAATAAATTCAATATAGAGAAAAATTTAGTTACTGACACGTGGTCGATATAAAACGCAGTTCCCACGACTCACTTTTGTTTCATGTCGCGTTCGTTTTTAAATAGAATTTTCAAAATTTATTTCATATAAAACTAGGTATTTATCGAAATATTTTAGTGATTTTGAACGTAATTTCTAATTTTTAAATTAATTTTTATTAGTTTGAAACTAATTTTTAATTTTTAAAGAAATTTCCAGTTCTGTATAAAAATAGTTTAATTATCAATTAATTAATGCCAGACGCTGAAAAATTAATTCAGGTAAATATTTTTAAAAAAACAGTCAAATTTTTAAAATAAGATTTTAGACTTTTTTCTTATGATGAAATCGGAATTTTTATCAAAAGTGCAAGCTTTTCATTTTTCCTTGTTGAAAATTATTTTTCATTGCTAAACTTTGATTACGGGAAAAATATAGAATTTTAATTATAAATAATCAAACACCGGTTTTCGAATTATTCCCAGGAACATAATATCTTTAGGTTCTTTTTTTGCGATTAGAGAAAAAAGTTTGAATTTCGTTAAAATTTATAATTTTAAATAAGAACTCAATTTAATTTCGAATGATTTAAAATTCACAAAGGTAAATTTCTTTATGGTGAATATTTGATAAATTAGAAGCAGTTGATTGCCTTTTATTGTTCTGGCACCCTTTTAATACGCTCCTGCAATTTAAACATGTGAATGTGGTAACGTGGTTGCGCGGGAAATAATTTTATGGCGTCTCGAAAGCTGATTGGCGGAGATTTGTAAATGAACAATGGAGGTTATGTTGGCACCATGTGAATTGGACTTAGGAGAATTTTGCGATTGGTTAGCGTGTCTGCGAAGGCCACCACCACAGTCAGTAGTACCGCTTCGCCAGAAGCGAAGTTGGTCGAATTTCCTATATATTAAATAAATAAGTGTAGATGTTAATTCGTGCTAGTGTTGCCATTATTAAAAGACTATATTGGCATTAAAAAAAATTGAATATTCGTCGGTAAGGATTGAATTTGAAGTTGTTAAAACTCTCATGATACCAACATAACCGACGCTTTGCTCTTTCTTGATACTGCGACAGTACATATCGAGCATTGGGTGTGACGGATTTATCTCGTGCTGTGTGAAATTGCGTAGTGCTTCTAGTGTCTTGAACAACAGCAGTATTTGTTCAAGTTATTTGCATTTCCTGTAAACGAAGTGGTCTATTAAAATTTTTATTGGATTTGTGCCTAGTGCCTCCTTGTTTTTTAATAAATAAGAAAAAAAGGATCGTGTAGTTTTTTGCTCCGCCATTGTACGCTGCCGCAAAATCGCGAAGGGAGCCGCTCGCTGCTGCCTCGTTCTTCCGTACGTTCCCTCTCACTCACTCATACATTCTCTCTCTTTCTTTGTCTAACTGTCTCCTTTCAACTCGTTTAAAATGTTGGTTTAACTCTCTTGCACGCACGCTTTTGCCATCAGTCGTACCCGCCTCACATTCGACCGCTCGCCTGATTATCGTTCCCTCCTCTCTTTCCCCGTCGCTCGGCGCTCACAGTTTTTCCTTTGCCAAGAAACCAAAGGAACTTCTCGCAATATTCCCAAAGCGCGTACGTGGACGCCCGGTAATTTTACCGCCGGGGCAAACGATTCTTGCGCGTCATTATGCAATAGACTTTGTGACCTAAAGGAAGACAAGGCCAGGCAGCCACTCAACTTTCCTCGGGGAAAATCTCAACATTTTTTTTCTGGTACGCATTTTTCCCTTTTTGTCAAATGCCAAAGACGAGTCGACTTTGTTCCCCGGGAACTTCCTCTCTGTGCAGGTTCGACGAGATCGTCGATCACGTGGGGATGCGTCATACGAGTACCTGCGATAGATAACCCTGTCGCATTGACGACGCCTCTTGAGTTTTTTTTTCTTTCTTTTTTTTTTTTTAGTGATTGTGCGATTTTTCCTTTGTTTTTCTTTGTATATTCCCTAACGGTATTAACGGAAGACCTTACGAATTCACGCCCTTAAGGTTCTAGTTCCCTCTCACTCACTCTTGCTTGCTCCTCCTCCCTTGAAAACGCCACCCGTCGATTTCACTGTCTTGCTCTTTCAAGTTCTCTCTTTTATTTATCTCTGTCTCTTTTCAATTCTCTCTCTTTTACTGCAACTATCTTTTTTCCCCTCTTTCACTTTCTATTTCTTTCTCTTTCCGTCTTTTTTTTCCCATTACCGGCCGCTGTACAAGTCTTTTTCTATTTTTCACATTTCGATTATAAATTTGTTTACTTCTTTTTCATTTTTTTAAATCATGAAAAAATTTAACAAATTTTCGTTTTTTTTCCTTTCTATAGAATATTCTGCTCCGAAAAAAAATTGTCGAGTGTCCCCCCCTCCCGAAAAAGCGAACAACAACGTTTAAGGTGAGTAATCCTTTTTTTCGAACAAAAAAAAATCCGGTTTACTTGTGACAAAAAAAACAGAAAAGACCGGTTCTAATTTTCTTTTATTTATAGAAAAATTTTTCTATATATTAACTAGGGTCTCGGAAAGTCTTTTTTTTTCTTTCTTTTTATGAATTCTATATATGATTTTGTGTAATTCTAGTTTTCTTTGAAAGTGGTGGTGTGCCGAGTGCAGGAATCGATTGAAAGCAGCGTTTGTGAATAGTGTTGATTCTGGAAAATTTCCCCTCTCAAAAAGTGCTGTTTAAATAATTAATTGCAGAAGAAAGGAGAGGAATAAAAAAAAGAAAAAAAACACACACACAAGAGTGCAGTAAAGTGATTCGAAGCAATTTAAAATTGATTTTGAAATAAAGACTATTATTGCTATTTTGTGCATAACAAGAGGGTCAATAATTGGAATTTTTGAAAGAGATAATTTAATTCTGATGTTTTTTTGTATTTTTTTTTGCTGAAAAAATAAGAGTGAAATGCAATTTTTGTTAAATTTGAGAGAGAATTGACAGAAATTACGTCATGCTGGATTTAAAGATTTATTTTGTGTTTTTTATTGACTATTTATTTTATATTGAACATTAATATAAATTATTAATTTTTATTACTTTTAATTAATTTATATTAAATTTTATAAATTTTTCTTAATTTATAGAATTAATTTACATAATTAATTTGGTCATTAATAATTTGCATTAATATATAAATAATTATATAAATTCCCTTCTACAATTTTGGTGCTAATTTCTCTAAATTGTTTTCTTTTACTAATTAATAAATTAACTTTCATTAAAATATATAAATTTCCTTTTATTTAAAGTACAATTTTGGAGCTAATTTCTTTAATGAAAGGTTTCTTTTACTATTTAATTTATTTTAATTAAATTATATTTAATTATAATTATTCTAATTAATTTATACAGTAATTAAATTTATAGAATTTACAGTAATATAAAAATGTCCTTCTATTTATAGTACAATTTTTCTACTAATTTGTTTAATTAAGAAAATTTTAATATTAATTTGTTTCAAGCTTGAATTTAATTACTTTCTAAAGACAGTTTATCTGTTTACTAATTAATTTTGTAATAATTTGTCAATTTTTTTATGTTTAATTGTCTTTGCCTTTTATTTTTCCAAATTATCAATTTTACTGTAATTTAATTACCTTTTTACTGTTACTTAATTACTCAGAATTAATTATTTTTTATTTAGAAACTATTTAATTGTTCTTTTAGTTTTTTTAGTCTTTTTGTTTTCATTTAAATTTCTTTTTTGAATTTAATTTATTTATTATTTTTTTGTTTTTCTTTTGTGAATTTATTTTAATAAAATTGTTATAATGTGACTGTATATTGTATCGGTAACGTTGTTTTGAGTTGATTGCTTGCGCTTTGTACACTCCAATAATTATCATGTAAAGCATATTATACATTATTCTATTCCCGCACGAGATTTCTTGGTATTTACGACCTAAATAAATAAATAAATATACAGAGGAATGATAGTTTGCAAATTCGTAATTTTAAATTTATTTCTAGTCTAGGGGGATTTTTTTTTCTTTTTAATAATTTAAAGATTTTTTGTGCTCCAAAAATTCGGAATTTTCGAAATGAACGAATTTTTTAATATTAATATTTTCATTAAAAAAGTAAAAGTAATGCAATAAGAATCAAAAAGGTGAATTAAACATTTTGAAACTTTAAAAATGGTTTTTTATTATAATAAATTATAATATATAAAAAATTAAATTATAAAATAATTATTAAAATCTGCCTCTAATGTTCCGATCGTTTACATAAACGAAACTAATTTATTTTCTTTTCAAATTTTGTTACAATAATATTGTAACATAAGTTAAAAAATAATTTATAAAGTTTTAAAATGTTTAATTTACGTATTTAATTTTTATTGCAATCAGTAATTTTTGAATTAAATGAAAATTATTTCGTTTATTTGAACATTCTTAAAATTTTAAATTACATTCAGAGTTGCCGCAGGTCAGGGAAATCAGGAAAAATTCAGTTGAATTTAATTAAAAATACTGGAAAAAATAGTAAATTTTTAGAATTGATAAAGAAAATATATAATCGAATTTATTTTAAATAATTCAATTTTTTATGAACTTTTTTTAAAAAATCATTCATAAATTATTTATAGAATAATTTCCCTTGAAAATTCAAAAATAATTTAATTTTGGTTGCCTTTGTGATGTTTATAAATAAATTGAATTTCAGAATAAATTTGAATTTAGAGAATGATTTTACTTGAAAATTCAAAAAATAATTGAATTTTGGAAGAATTTCCCTTCCGATTTTTATAAATAATTTAATTTCATAAGATTTTGAATTTAAAGAATTTAATTTTTTTGGAAATTCAATAAAGTAATTGAATTTTTGAAATATTGCTTTTGATTTTTATAAATAATTGAATTTCTTGAGGATTTGAATGTAAAAAATAATTTTACATGAAAATTTAATAAATAATTGAATTTTGCAAGAATTTTCTTTGCCATTTTTATGAGTAATTGAATTTTGTAAGATTTTGAAATAAGAGAATAATTTCCCTTAAAAATTTTAAAAATAATTCAATTTTGGAAGAAATGCTTTTGAGATTTTTTGATAAATATTTGAATTTAGAGAATAAATTTACTTGAAAATTCAAAAAATAATTAAATATTAGAATAATTACTTTTGTAGTTTTTATAAATAATTGAATTTCTTAAAATTTTGAATTTAGGGAATATTATTATTATTTATTTATTTCTTTGACAATACAATACATTGTTTCTTGTCGAATTTAGGGAATAATTTTACTTGAAAATTCAAAAAATAATTGAATTTTGGAAAAATTTCCCTTACGATTTTTATAAATAATTTAATTTCATAAGATTTTGAATTTAAAGAATATAATTTTATTTGAAAATTCAAAAAAGTAATTGAATTTCTTAAGAATTTGAATTTAAAGAATAATTTTACTTGAAAATTTAAAAAATAATTGAATTTTGCAAGAATTTTCCTTACGATTTTTATAATTGTATTTATTTTGTAAGTTTATTGTTTGGAATAATTTTACAATTGAAGATACAAATAAATAAACATTAGAAAAATATAAAGTTTTAAACTCTTCAAATGAACGAAATATTTGTTATTAAAAATATTTTCGTAAATTAATAATTGCAATAGAAATTAAAAACAATATTTTCTTTTAGAACCTTTATAATTAATTTTTTTTTGCGAATGTCGCAAAATTATTGCAATATAAATTTAATTTCAGGAAGAAATAAATAAACGGATTTATTTTGAACCTTCAGAACTATAGAATAATTTAGAAATTGATTAATTAAATTTATTTGAAACTTTCCTGACGCAAGAAAATTCCAAATAAATTTAATTAATCAATTTCCTGATTAATTAATTAATTTCCTGACACAAGAAAATTTTTCTGGCAACTCTGATCTTAAATTGCTGAATAATTATTAAATTAATGGAATGATTGTTAAAATATAGAAAAATTATTAAATTATAGAATAATTATTAAAATACAAATTACTAAAGTATAAATTATTAAAGTGAGTTTTAGTGTAAAAATTTGACTGTAGATTTTTTTTCAGGACTGGAGAAAATAATCAGTGGATCCCTTGGGAGAGAGTAATGCAGTCCACCTTTGCAATGTGATGCTCTCGCCCCCAAAAAATTGCTTCTGGATGAAATATTTCGTGATTATAAATGGAAGATAGGGAAAAAAATTGAGAAATAAGCGAGGACCAAGTTTTTTTTTCCGGCAAAAAAAAGAGGAATCGAGGGAAAAAAAGGCGAGAAAATTGAGATGGAAAGTGTAAAAATCAGCCAGTAATGGATGAATGGGATTGAGTAGAATTGAGAGCAGTTTTTGGTGTGGGTGCAGAGGGCACAGGTGGGAGCCTCTGGATGTCGAGGCGGCAGAAGAATTGTCAACGTCAGTGGCAGTGATGGCCCCTGCTCTGACGGAAGGCGGTCCTCAAAAGCCTGAAAATTTACTCCCCACCTTACCAGTTGGATTCCTATCACCAAAGCAGGCCTCGGATATTTGTAATAATCGTGAGGTATTAGCAAAATTTGTCGTCTCAGCAAACGTGAAACCATCAAAAATTGATGACCAGTTCCTTCTTGGTATATCAAAGGATCTGATTCGTGATGTCATCAATTCAAAGTACGCTCACAATCTTGATCAATTGTCTGGATTTGGTAACAACGAATCAAACTTGATTATTGAGGACAATAATTTTGAATTGGAAGACGAGAGACCGATCGTCCCGGACATTGTACCGTTGACGACAGATATTATAATGAACGACCCATCTATGGGTGATCAAACGGATAATATGTGTTTCCTGAAATCTAATGTGGACGTGCCTTTAACGGACTCTGCTGTTGATTGTGATAATAAAACATTGGACGATGTTGATGATATAATGGGTTTCACTGATAAAATACAAGTTGATTCTAATGTTGGTGGTGTTAATGACATTGGACAGAATGTTGAGGAGATATTGCAGGTTATTAAATCGATGGAGGGTGCTGCTAATGTTGTTAATAGTGAAATATCATCGTCATCACAACAAAATGTAAACGATGGTGTTGTTGAAATGTTTCCCGGTTCAGAGATATTTCCATCGTTTGAACAAAATTTACTCGATGAGGATTTTGTTGGTTTATGCGCTGATTATGCGAATCCACAGGAGGACATTGAACAAGTGAAAGTTGAAAATTTAAAGCCACATGAGGATTTAGTTGTACAAAATCAATATGAAAATGAGAGGCGATGTGCATTTTTAATGAGACGACTGCGTAAATTGCAAGCGCGACTTGTTGGTAGGCATGTGGCTGAGGAGAATACGAGTGTACTTCAACTCGCTCATAATGGTGTTAAGCAATATTTCTTTCAAGAATTATCGGGTATTAGTTCAAAAACAGCGGCTAAAAGTAGTCCTGAAGTGAATAGTAGTTTGAGTAATTTTTTGGAGAATATTGAAAAGACATGTGTGGCTCAAAGTAGCAGTGTTAGTAGACAACGTGTTATGTGCCGGTATTTTGGTGCCGGTTCAAGGGATAATTCAAGTACTGGAAGTGGCAGTACAAGTCGACATCCTGCCTTTGCTGCGTCACAGATTAATATCAAAGGCGAGGAAGTTGAAAATGTTGCTGGGCCTTTGGCCTCACATTTACATTTAGTGGAATCCAAATTGGATTCAGATTGTACTGCATCAAGCAGCGGGGGTGAAAGTTGTGATGAGATGCAGACGTTTAATAATCTACACCAACAACAATTGCCCATGTGAGTGTTTTTCTTTTTTCTTTTTCAAATTATTATCGTTAATTAATTCGCGAGCTATTTCCTTAATTGGCGATAAGTGGACAATTGTATTTTTTTGACACATTTTTAATATTAATTAAATATTCTCTCATTTTCAATTTTAATCTCGTTTCGATATTTTATTTATTATTTGATATTTTTTAAATACTTTTTTATTAAATTAACAGTTTCTTTTTACAAACTATCTATTCAACAGTTATTTTAAAACTGAAACGAAATTAAATTTACTAGAATTTGTTTTAACGAAAATGAAACACGATTTCTTGATCGTATATATTAAATATCTTCGTACCTGTTGTGAAAAGTTGCAAAATTAACTAGCTTTTAAATAAGAATAATATAATCAAATACAATTAATCAAAAAATAAACAAAAAAAAAAAATAGAAAATAAAAAAATAATAGAGAAAAAAATAGAAAATAGAAAAAAATAAGAGAGACAAAAATAGAAAATAACAAAAAATAGTAGAGTAAAAATAAAAAATATTAGAGAAAAAAAAGAAAATAACAAAAAAATAATAGAGAAAAAAATAGAAAATAGGACAAAAATAATTGAGAAAAAAAGTAGAAAATGGAAAAAATAATAGAGACAAAAATAGAAAATAAAAAAAAAGTAGTAGAGAAAAAAATAAAAAATAGAAAAAAATAATAAAGACAAAAATATAAAATAACAAAAAAAATAGTAGAGAAAAAAATGGAAAATAGGAAAAAAATAGTTGTAAAAAAATGTAGAAAATGGAAAAAATATAAAATAGGAAAAAATAATAGAGAAAAAAAAAATACAAAATAGAAAAAAATAGTAGAGTCAAAAAATAGAAAATAACAAAAAAATAATAGAGAAAAAATGGAAAATAACAACAAAAAATAGTAGAGAAAAAATAGAAAATAAAAAAAATAATAGAGAAAAAAAGTAGAAAATGGAAAAAATAGAAAATTAGAAAAAATAGGAAATAGCAGAAAAAAGTCTAATTTACAGAAATTATATAATTATGTTAATTGAATATTAATTTACCCGAAAAATATATCTCAAGTACTGAACAAAAAAATAAATAAATAAATTGATATAAATTTGATCAAAAAAGAATAGCACCCGTTTTTTATCGATCGAATCAGAAGATTAAAATGATTGTGTCAAGTTCTTTTAAACCGAATATAATTAACTTGGCTCGGTTTAAAAGACTTGTAATTAACAATTGATTAGAGTAGATAATTCGTGACTTTTATTTATTATTTTTTTTTAATGAAGGAGACATATTTTGATTTGGTTAACTGGACCAGAAAAGTTTGTCGATATATTAATCACCGTATAAAGAAAAAGAGAGGAAAAAAGAAATTATAAAATGAATAATTTGAATAAAATTATCTAGAAAAAGTTACATAAGTTTTTTATCATTGACGATTATTGTAAACAATTCAATTGCATATTCATTATTTCCATCATGCAACATTGTATGGAAAATAAATTTCAGTTTTTAATTAATAATAGTGGAAACATTAAAAAATAATAAGTAGTGGGTAAAGAGAAATAAATAATAATTGAAATTTAATAATTTTAATATATTATTAATTAATTAATATTATTATTCAAATAAATATAATAATAATAATAATTATTATTATTGTAATAGTAATAATAATATAATAACAAATATAATATAGTAATAATTATAATAAGAATAGAAATTAGAATAATAATAACAATAATAATTATGATAGCAATAGTATAATAATAGATTTAATAATAGTATAATACCAATCACAATATAATAATAATTATAACACTAATAATAATACAATAATAGTTATAATAAACAATAAATAATAATAATAAATAGTGACAATAATAGAAATAAATAATAAAATTAATAATAATAAAAATAATACAATTCTTCTTAATTTTAAATTAATTTCAATTTTTTAGTTTAATTTTAATTTTTTAATTGAATTTAATTAGTTTTTGTTTTTATTTTTCATTTGTAATTTTTCCAAAATAAAGTTTTTAAATATAAAAATAATAAATTTTGTACGCTAAGTAATTATCAATTCTCATGACATTGATTTCCTCAGAGTTATCAAAATATAAAACGAGAATTTCTTCGCATAGATGACGAATACTTTTTTTGAACAATTATTTCATTTCGTGTATTTAAAGAAAAATGTTCTTTATTTACTTTTTTTGTTTATTACATAAAATTTACATTTTTTTCTATTTATATTTTGTTGTGAATGTAATTATTTTTTTCATGATAATAATATAGAAATTTTTCTATAATTTCTTATACATATATAAATTATATATATGAGAGTGTTTTGTTTTATTATTTTTAATAGAAATTTTTGATCATTTTTTTCCCCAAAACTATATAAAGAATCAATTTTATCAACTTTATTATATTATCAATGTTTACTTTAGATTGAGCAACTGACAAAAAAAAAAAAAGAACTAGGTGGTTTTTGTGTAATTTGAAATGAGATAGTATCGAATCAAAATATATTTTTGTTTGATTTTCTTTTTCTTTAAAATAAAAATAATAGTTTTATTGTATTTATTTTTACTTTTTTCTTAGTTATTTATTACGTAACTAATTATTATTAGTTAATAATAATAATAATTATTATTATTTTATTAATAATAAATTAATTAATAATAAATAGTATTTTAAAAACTATGAAGAATTTTATTTTATTTTTGGAAAAAGATTTGTTTATTATTCCTTTTTTTGTATAGATTGGGAAAAAAGTATATGCAAGCAAAGAATGATAAAATAAACGTTCTATTTACGCGTGGATATTATTAAACAAAAATACATTTGTTTATAAAAAAATATGTAGAAACGTGAAAGGTTAAATTATTATTTGTTCTTATTTTTTTACTTTATTTTTTATTTTATTATTATTGTTATTACTGTTATTATTGTTATTATTATTATTATTATCACCTATTTTTATTTACTTGAAAATTATTATTTACTCCTTAACATGAAAATGGAGTAAAAAGAAATTTGGTCCATTAACCGCGATTATTCGACAAGAAAGAATAACAATAGGAAATTATCTTTATTAAGAGAATTTAACAAAAGTATTGAGAGATTTTAAAAAAGTACCGTAAACCGGATCTACTGTGGTGCAAAAAATCATATTTTTCTCATATCTGTTTAACGTTTTCTTTAAAAATAAGAAAAATAATTTGAAAATTGTTAATATTATAAAAAATAATAGAAATAAATGAAGTAAATTAATTAATCAATTAATAAAATAAAATTAATAATAAGAATAAAATCGAATAAATTAAATTAAATTGAAAGAAAATATTAATTTAATAATTAAAATTTTTGTTTATTTTTGGAAAAATTACTTATTCAAATTATTTGATTTTTGTGGAAAATTATTATAATTGTCTAATGAAAAAATTGAATTGAAATGAAGAATTATTAAAATTAAATTGAAAGAAAATATTATTTGGAAAATTGAAATTTTTGTATATTTTTCGGAAAATTATTTTAATTAGAAAATTTTAATAAATTGAATTAACTTGAAAAATTAAAATTAGATTGAAAGTAAATATTAACTTAAAAATAAAAATTTTTGACTATTTTTGTAATAAAATTGAATAAATTAAACAAAATTGAAGAATTAAAATTCAAATTGAAAGAAAATATAAATTAAATTAAATTGAAGAATTAAAATTCAAATTAAAAGAAAATATTAATTTAAAAATAATGTTTTTTTAATTTTTGGGAGAAACTTGTTTAAATTAATGAAAAAATTCAAATAAAATTTATGTTTCTAAAGTTTTGAACGTTTAAATGAATAATGACAATTTTTTGCTTCTTTGAAATTGTACTTTTTAAAGAAAATATTATTTTGTATATTCAGAAAATTAATTCTTAACCTATATAAATGTCTAATTATAATCATTTTTTATTCTTGAATGGTAATTTTTAAAAATACTTGAGCAGAAAAAATTTCATTCATTTGAACGTTCAAAACTTGAGGAAAATATAAAATTGAATAAATTGAAATTAAATTGAATAAATATGATTCTTTGAATGTTCAAATGAAAGAAATATTTTTTTATCAAAAACATTTTCATAAATTACTGATTGCAATGAAAATTAAAAACATAAACTTTACTTTTAGAAACTTTACAATCAAATTTTTTTTTGATAAACAAATTAAATTATTATTTATTATATAAAAAATGATTGCAATAAAAATTTAATTTGAAGAAGAAGTAAATAAATTTCGTTCATTTGAACGTTCAGAACTTTAGGAACATGAATAAATTGAATTAAATTAAAATTATTCAAATTCAAATTGAAAGAAAATATTAATTTCAAAATAAAATTTTTTGTCTATTTTTGTAGAAAATTATTATAAATAACTTTATTTCTGGGGAAAATTATTCCAATTAATGTAAAAATTTGAATAAAATTGAATAAATTAAACTAAATTCAAGAATAAAATTCAAATTGAAAGAAAATATTAATTTAAAAATTGAAATTTTTGTTTATTTTTAGAGAAAATTATTTAAATTAATGAAAAAATTTAAATTTAAATTGAAAGAAAATATTAATTTCAAAATAAAAATTTTTATTTATTTTTGGTGAAAATTATTATTTAAATTAATGAAAAAATTCAAATAAAATTGAATAAATTGAATAGATTGAATGAAATTGAATTACATTGAAATTAAATTGAATAATTTGAATTAAATTGAAAAATTGAAATTGAATTGAATGAAAAGAAAAATTTTTGACCACAATAATTTCTGGTTTGCGGTAAATAAAAATAGTCCCTAACTTTAAGTCCAGTTGCTCTAAGAAAAATGAAAAAAAAAAAGAATTTGGAATGGATCGAGAGTTTTGTTGCTTGCAGATCGAAACGTGCAGCATGGCGTTTTGCTCAAGATCGTGCAAGTATTGCATCACGATGGACCTGGTTACAAGCGCAAATATCGGATTTGGAATATAGAATTCGTCAGCACAATGATCTGCAACGTCATATTAGAGCGACAAAGGGCTTGGTGATACTTGACAATGCCGAAACTGTTAATGGTTACAGTGGTGTATTACCAGGATCCACAGGCCGATACAATAATAATCCTGCGGATGGTGGTAATAATGGTACTGGTGGTGAATCATCAGCAAGTCGTACCAGGCCGTTTGTTTGGACAATTTACAAAAAACGAAAATTACTTCAAGTCGACAGGCTACATGAAGTCTCAAAGCGTGCAGCTAAGGCATCGACAATACGTTGTGGTTGTGATCATGTATTGCCATCGTGTGCACTTTGTACCGGGAGACTTGATCCAACACAACCCCAAGAGCCACTTGAACAACTTTCTGTCCAAGAGCGAGTGGCCCTCGTCGATCCTGGTTTCCATCCGGTCCTATCCTTCCCGGATGGTAAATATCTCTTCTCTTTTTTCTCACGTGAAACATGAATTTTGTGCATTGGGATCGTGGAAAAAAACTTTATTTTAAATCTACAGGGATCACAGTTTGTCCCCTTTTTTTATCTAATCCCATTTTTTTCCTTTTTTATCTGTAATCTGTTCCTAAAGTTCTAAATGTTCAAATGAACGAAATTTATTTATTTTTTCTTCAAATTTAAATTTTTCAACAATATTTTTACAATTTTTTGTCATAAAAAAACAAAAATTATTAAATCCCTAAATGTTCAATTTAAGTTTTTAATTTTTTATTACAATCAGCAATTTATAAAAATATTTTTAATGGGAAATATTTCTTTCATTTCAATATTAACACGATTTTGCCACAGATCAGGGAATTTTATCAAAAGTATTGGAAAAATATTCAATTTTCAATATTCTGAATTCTGAACTTTACTGAATTAAAATTTTAAAAAATTCAACTTTAATAAAAATACTTTCAATTTTAAAATTAAAATAGGTATTGAAAATCATTGAATTCTTGCAAAGAATTTTATGAAAAAAAATTCAGAATAATTGAATTTTTACGAAGAATTTTATTATTTATGAAAATAATTGATTTCTTGCAAAGAATTTTATCAAAAAAATTATTTGAGTGTAATTGAATTTCTCCGAAGAATTTTATTATTTATGAAAATAATTGAATTCTTGAAAAGAATTTTATCAAAAAAATTATTTGAAAATAATTCAATTTCTCCGAAGAATTATATTATTTATGAAAATAATTGAATTCTTGAAAAGAATTTTATTTAAATTTTTGAAAATCCAAATTAAATTCGAGTTCTTAAATTCACTTAAAGAATTTTTTCAATTTTTTTTTAATTAAAGGAGTTTTTTTTTAATAATTTTAATTAAAAATTTTGAGAGTAATTGAATTTTATGAAAAATTTCTTTCAAATTTTTAAAATAATCGTGTTTCTTACTAATTGAAATTAAAGAATTAATTTATTGAATTTTATTACAATTTTTAGAAGATTATTAAATTCTTCTCAGAATTTTATTAAAATTTCCTAAAATAATTTAATTAATTTAAGGAATTTTGTTAAAATATAGAAAATAATTGAATTCTTTCTTTATTAAAAATTTAAAAAAAGTGAATTGTTTTGAAGGATTTTTTATAATTTTAGAAAATAATTGAATTCTTTTGAAAAATTTTATAACAAATTAAGAAAAAAATTGAATTCTTTCGTGAAATTTTATTGAAAATTATTGAATTTTTGCAAAGATTTTACTATTTAAAAAAGTAATTGAATTGTGAAAGATTTCTTGAAAATTTTTAAAATAATTGAATTATTTCGTGAAATTTTATTAAAAAGTTAAAAAAAATTAATTCTTTCATTAAATATTTTTGAAATTGTATTAAAAGTAATTGAATTTTTGCAAAGAATTTTACTATTTATAATAATAATTGAATTGTTTCGAAGGATTTTAAAAAATTTTGAAAAGTAATTGAATTCTTTTGTGAAATTTTGTCAAAAGTTTTAAAAAAATTGAATTTTGTAAAAAAATTTACTATTTATAAAAATAATTGAATTGTTTATTTTTAATAAACTTCAGTAAAATTCTATGCAAAAATTAAATTATTTCAGATTTAAAATTGTAAAAAGTTACAAAAATTACAAGTAATATAAAAATTAATTCAAAAAAACATATAAAAAATGTTATATTTTAAAATAGAAAAAATTTCATAAAATGAACGCAAAATCTTTGAAATACAAATTTTCAGAATATTAATTCATGTCAAAATTCTAATTTTTATTGAAATTTACTTCGAACATAGTAAAATTCATAAAATTTGAAAATTTTTTAAATACAAATAAATCATTACAATAACTTATACTAAATTTGAAAAATTCCCTTTTCTTTAATCTGAATCCATTTTAAAAATAATAAAATCCCCTTTTCTACCTTATATTACAAAATCACTGTGATTCCTGAAATTAGAAAGTTTTATCGTTTTTAAAAAAAGCAGTACAAAATTTAGTTTCATATTTTATTCATATTGCTCGTTGCCCTTTTATTAAAGTTCCGTTTTCATCCCTTAAATAGAAGTTTTTATTCTTCAGATCGACTTATTTGTCATTTGCAAATAGTTTCTGTCAAAATTTATGATTTTTTAATACCGATAAAATTTATTTACAAAAAAAACTGGTTTTAATCATAAAATTTTTTCGAAAATCAAATATTAAATCGTGACAAGTAAATAAAAATTGAGGATGCAGATCAGTTTGAGAAACGCTTTTCTTTTTTGCTATAAACGACAGATTTATTGGTTTTTAAAAACGGATGAATTAATAAACAAAAATTACTGCTTGATTAAAAGAAAATAGGTACTTTATACGAATAATGCACTTTCATAAAAGGTCATATAGAATTCTCTTTCTTTTTATGTAAACAAACAATAGGAAATTTTTTTTGTATTCAAAAATTAAGACAAAAAAAATCAATATCGACATGTTTCTAAAGTTTTAAAGGTTCAAATGAACGACGATATTTTTGTTACTTTTTTAATTTGTATTTTTTTTTATAAAAATGATATATTTTGTATATATTAAAAAATTAATTTGTCTATTATAAGAATTAATTCTTAACTAATTACATGTTTTTTAAAATTACTTTTCATTTTAGAAAAGTAACTTTCAAAAAATATTTCGTTCATTTTAACGTTGAAAATTTTAGGAAAAGTCGAAAATTTATAGATTAGTAATTTCTGTAATTATGTTCTTGTTTGTTTTTGAAATTTTAACTTTTAATTACAAAAAGTACGTAGTAGAAAATAATACGTAATAGATAATAATTAATTAAATAGTTAACTATTAATTTGTTATTAATTATTAATTTACTATTGATTAATAATTAATTAATTAATTATTAGTTAATAAATTATTATTAATGTTTTAAAGAATTGACTGAGGAAACTAATTGAATTTTTATTTTCAATAGATACCCTGCAAGGCACACACTTGGAGGCCATTATGAAGTCGGTAGATTGGCAGCAGAAAATGTTACGGGGTAATGTTCGAATGTCGAAAATCAAGGATAAGGACGCGAGCGAGAAGAGAAGTAAAAAAATTGCCGAGCACAGAACAAAATACACATCACGATTGAAGAAATCTACTTCTAGTATTGTCACATCAAGTGTGTATTTAATTGCGCTATTTTCTTTTTCTATAAATATAATTTTAGTTCCCTTCAATTATTTTCAATCGAATGGAAAAATTATGAGATAAATTGCTGATAATCTTAACGTTCAAGTTTTATTTTGTTCGATTTATTTCTATTTTTAATTTTATTTGTGAATTTATTTTTAAATCGTTAGAAATCTATTTCTACATTGTTACATTTATTTCTAAATTATTAAAATTATTTCCAAATTGTTAAATTCATTTTTAAATTGTTAAATTTATTTATAAATTGTTCGAAATTTATTTCTAAACTGTTAATCATTTATTTCTACATTGTACAAAATTTATTGTTTAATTATTAGCAATTTATTCTAAGTTAATTGTACCTAATATAAATTTTAAACTATTAGTAATTTATTGTAAAATTGTGAGAAATTTATTTTAACATTGTTTATTTAGATTTTGATATTAATTATTTGGAATTTTATTAGTAAAATTATTTATTTAGAAATTTATTTACTTATTATTTATTTATTTTATTTATATATAGAAAATTTTTGAAATTTATTTAGAATTTTTTTTTAAATTATTTATTTATTTCTATTATCAGTGTTTGATGAATGGAATTAAAAGTAATTATTTATTTTCGATTTAAAGAATTTATTTATTTTTTTACGTTCAATGTTTGACGAAGGGAAATAAAAAACTTTTTTTACTTTCAATTTTAGGAATTAAGAGAAAAGTATTGAAAGGAAAGAGAAGTAGACTTAATCGTGAAAGAAATGTTCATGGTCTTAAAAAGCGAGTTCCGAAGTTGTCGCATGTGGAAGATGACGAGGAAATGAGCGCACTATCGAGCTCAAGTAAACATTCATCGCCAGTGCCTTCTCCATTGCAACACACTGCAGCATCCTCGGAGAAAAATTCTGCAATTAAAGAGAAAACATCCACCTCGCATGGGTAAATTCTTTTTATCCTTTTTTTTTTTTGTAAATTAAATTATTCTTTCATTCGGGATAATGACCGAGAATCAAAATTAAATTTGAATCGAAAATTATAATTTTATTAAAAACTATTTTCTATTGAAAATTATTTTTTATTATCATTTTATTTGAATTGTAAATTGAAATATTATAATTATTAAGTTCTCGAAATACTGAAATATTTAAAATACTGATTTATAATTTTGTAATTAGAAGAATTTGAGATTGAAATATTGTTGTAACTAAAAGATTTTTAAAATATTTCAGACGGTTGAGACAAAATTCCTACGACATCGACAATATTGTCATACCGTACAGTGTCGCCGCCTCGACAAGACTGGAAAAATTACAGTACAAGGAAATTTTAACACCAAAGTAAGTTCTATAATTAATTAAAAACCAAAATCTATATTTACATCAAGAGAGTAATAAAAATACCAAATTACTTAACATCTGAAATTTTAAGTAGACAAATTGAATCAATTATTTTAATTAAACTATTAAAATCGATTAGAATTAAAATTTATAAATTTTGTTACAGAGTAAAATATTTTGTTGTAATAATTTTAACCATTGAACAAAATATTTAATTTATCATTCAATTTTTTCTCTCTTTATTTTTACTTTTTCACTTTCTTTTTATTTTAATTTTTAATTCATAAATCTTTTAATTATAATTAAATTTCTAAAAAGTATAAATAAAAATGATCAAATTTTTGAAGAATTATAATTATAAACAGGACCATGATTTGTCAAAAATTTTCTTAAAAGAATTTTTGTATAATTTAAAAAAACTAATGACTTTTGATTAATTTTAATTAAAAATTTTGAACATTATTGTTTTCTCCAAAATATTAAAAATAATTCTAAAATGTTATTATTTTTAAAAATATGTAATTGAAAATATTAAAAATATTGAATTTTAAAAAATTAGAAGAATTCAATTATATTCAAAAATTAAAAAAAATTCTGTTCATTTCAATTATGTCTTTAAAAATAATAAAATTCTTCTCCAAAATTCAATTATGTTCAAAAATTTTTTTTAAATTCTCGTCAAAATTTCAATTATTTTTATAAATAATACAATTCTTCTTCGAAATTCAATTATTTTCAAAAACTTTAATAAAATTCTTGGCAAAATTTCACAGGAATTTAATAATTTACAAGATTTTTAATAAATTTCTTCGAAATAAATCAATTATTTTCATAAATAATAAAATTTTCACAGGAATTCAATTATTTAATATAAAAAATTTCAAAAAATTTTTCGAAAAATATCAATTAATTAAAAAGAATTTTATAAAATTCGTCACAGGAATTCAATTATTTAAAAAAAATTTAACAAAGTTCTTTTCAAGAATTCAATTATTTTTAGAAATAGTAAAATTCTTTACCGAAATTCAATTATTTTAGAAAAATTTTAATAACATTTTTGGACAATTTTTTAATTATTTTCATAAATAATAAAACTCATCGCAGGATTTATTTTTTAATTTAAATAATTGAATTCTTCTAGAATTTTCTAATAAAAATTCATTAAAAAATGAATTACCGAATAATCGATTAATTATTTATGAAAATAATTAAATTATTGCAACGAATTTTATTACAATTTTTTCAAATAATTGAATTTTTTCAGAAAATTTACTACTTTTTAAAAATAATTGAATTCTTGCGAAGGATTTATTTAGGATTTTTGTAAATAATAAAATTTTTTTGAAAAATTTCATTGTAATAATATTCTTTTAAATTGTTGAATTTCAAAAAGTTTTGAATTTGAATGTCTTTAAGAATTTTAATTCCTACAGAAAAATAATAATGATTAAATATTTACTTAAAAAAGAAATTATTGATGTTTGTGAATAATTTTACAATTAATGAAATTTGTTAATAAACACTGTAAAAAAATCTTGTGTCAATTTACAATGTCCGACGCTGGAAAGTTTGGCCACTAGTCCGACGTTGTATTTTTACACGCCGACTGTAATCTACATAAACTGCAAATATTTTTGAAATAATATTTTCTATCGTAATTTTTTGTATTGATGAAATATAGCCCAAAACTTTTTGTAATATTATTATTTACTTATAAATTAGCATATACTTTCTGTAAATGTACATTATATACACTTTTTTAGAGTTATTTATAAAAACTTAAAAAATTTTTGAAAATTTTGAAGGAATAAGAAAATTGAGAAAATTACATTCGCTATGTAATTGTACAGTTCGTGCGACGTAATATGACGTAAAAATGTAAAAATACACGCAATGTAAAAATACATGTTGGACGTGTGGCCATACTTTCCAGCGTTGGACAACGTAAATTTACACAAACTTGTTAAATTACATAGTCACATTATGTAAAAATACTGTGAATAGTAAAACTACATTTTGGAACGAAATAAATTTACTACGTACAACCTATAATTTTGATGTGTGAAATTACAAGCCTCGTGTTATTCTATACCAACTTTTTTTACAGTGAATGTAATAGAACATTTTTTTGAAAGTCTTTTTTTATTTTTAGAGTAAATCAAAATATTTTTTAAGGTCAGGGAAAAAGTGAGAATTTTGTCTGGAAATCAGGCAAAAGTCAGGGAAAAATGAAATTAAATATTTGTGGCAACCCTGATTATAGTTATTTTTTGCATTATAAAAATCAAAATAAGTTGCACCTTTTTACAAAAAATTTACTAAAAATTGTGTTATGTATTTTGTTTCAATGTTTGGAAGAAAAATCGAATAATAAAAATAAATAATTCATTTGGAATTTCCATGTAATTGAGGTTAATTTATGTTTTTTAACTTTCAGATGGAGGCTGTGCGACGAACCTGTAAAAATCGATGTCAAAAATGGTGTCATGCATAGGCCTAGTCAAGATAGCGATGTAAGTATTCTAATTGAATTTAATTTATGATGACTCACTTGTACAATAAAACGTCATCGATTGAAACGTAATGTTTACTTCATTTTATTGTTTGCGGTTTCATTTTTGTTGTTGTTATTTTAATCTTCATCTTTTGTTGTTTAGTGTGAAGATGTGTCGGATGAAGCGGTTGTATTGAGGCACGGGCGAAGCGAAAAGGAAGAATACAAACGATTTATGACATTTGCAAATCCCCCCTATCAGTCGAGAATTCGACATAATCGACGGACAGATAGTAGAGCGGACAGTGGCGCAAATACACCAGGTATATTATTATTTTATTGCACAAATAAAGAACATGGAAAATTTTTTCTCTTGAAAATTATGTCATTTATTTCTATCATTTTATTTATTAATTTAATTCATTTACTACATTATCAGATAATTATACTTTTACTATAATATTTTTATTTACTAATTTAATCAGGGTTGTCACAGGTCTGGGAATTCAGGGAAAAACAAAGTTAAATTTTTGTGGCAACCCTGTTAATTGATTTTATTATTTATTTTCTATTTTATTTATTAATTTTAGTTTCATTTATTTACTATTTTACTTATTATATTTATTCTGTTTTTTACTATTATATTTTTATTTACTCATTGTATTTATTTTTTATTTATTACTTCTTTCGTTCTTATAAATTCTCTAATCTGTGGTAAATAAATAATTTATTTTGTTTATTAATTTAATTAATTATTTTAATTGAATTTAGTTCTATTTATTTCTTTTTTATTATTTTATTATTAATCATTTGAATTTTCAGATCCAATGTCACCGCACGCGAGTGACTTTGGTGGCGATACCACGTCGCCAATTACGTCTCCACCCGCGACACCGTCGAATAGTCACGACGCTGAACATGTGGACGCAAATCGTCCTCCTCCTTTGCAGCATGTTCTCCGACGTCGAACACTTTCGTCCCTGAGATTTACAAGAGAAGACCGAGAAAAGGACAAAGAAAAAGAAACCATAACGTCTATTGTTGACGAAGAAAGAGAAAAAGAGGTATTTCTTTTTATTTTAATAAGTAAACTCAATTTTTTCTCATGGGAAAAGAAATTTTTAAGAAATTTAAAATTGTTTATTCGTGAAATTGAAACATTTTTATTTTTTTTATAATTTAAAATAAGTATTTCTTGATTTAAAGAATACTTTTTTAACGATTAAAAAATTAAATACTTTTTAATTTCACTAATTAGAAATAGGAAACTTTTAAATTTCAATAATTGGAACTAAATACATTTTAATTCTAATGATAAAAAATAATTATTTTCGTTTAATTTTTCTTCTAATGTGAAATTTGACTTTCGATTTAGGTTCCACCGTATGAACCGAGAATGTTTCCATTACCCGAAGATGTGTATGATAAAATGTTGGAAGTGATGCCGGAAGGACACTGGCAGGCTTCCTCGGCGTCTGTATGCTCCCGAGAGGAAGATAAAATCGATAACGTAAGTTTAATCGATTCAATTTAAATTAATTTAAAAAAATAGAAACAAAAAAATATTGAAAATAAAATAATTAAATTTTATTAACAAAATTATTCAAATTTAGCCGAATTCTGAAGAATTTTAATCACAAATTTAAAAAAAATTGTAATTGAATTTTCAAAAGTAATAATGAAAAATCTGTAAATTAAAATATGAAAATCAAAGTTACTGAGATATTAGCTTCAAAAATATTATATTAAAAAAATATCGTTAGTAATTTTAACAACTTATTCGTTATAGAATATTTTTAAATTTAATTATTTTCAGTATTTTTAATTAATTTCTGAAAATTCAAATATTTAGAAAGAATAATATTACATTAAAGTTTAAAAAGCATTCTACTTTTATACAGTTATTAAAATGTCACAAAAAAAAATATTTTCTAAATTTATAATTAAAATTCTTTAAACAATTGAATTTGTTTTTTAAATTGTACTTTATTTTTTTTAAGAAATTCAATTATTTTTGAAAAAAAAATTACAATATTTTTAAAACCCTAATTTTTAGAATATTTTTTAATTATAATTTTTTATATTTTAAAAATCAGTTTTTAAAATATAAAAATCAGTTTAAAAATTTTAAAAATCAGTTATTTTTAATAATTCAGCTTAATAACTTTTTTTAAAACTATGAAGAGATACTGTTATTATTATTATTATTGAAAAAAATTGAAATTTTGTACTGGAATAATTGTATTCTTAAAGAACTTGTGAAAATTATTATTAAAATAATTGAATTCTCAAAGAACTTGCGAAAATTATTATTAAAATAATTGAATTCTCAAAGAACTTTCGAAAATTATTGTAAATAATAATTGGATTTTTGTATTTAAATAATTAAATTGTCGAAAAATTTTCGAAAATTCTTATAAAAGATTGAATTTTTGTATTTAAATAATTGAATTCTTAGAAAACTTTCGAAAATTCTTATAAAATAATTGAATTCTCAAGGAATTTTCGAAAATTATTGTAAATAATAATTGAATCTTTGTATTTAAATAATTCTATTGTGTTCAAAAATTTTTTTAAATTCTCATCAAAATTTCAATTATCTTTAGAAATAATTAAATTCTTCTCCGAAATTGAATTATTTTCAAAACTTTTCCTCAATTCAACGATTTTCAATATCTATTATTTTCATAAAATTTTCCAAAAGAATTCAATTATTTAAAAAAAATTTAATAAAATTCTACACTAACTTTTAATTATTTTTAAAAAATAATAAAAATTTCACTGAAATTTCATTATTTACACATTTTTTTTATAAATTTTTTCGCAATCGTTGAATTATTTTTATAAATAATAAAATTCTTACGGGGATATTATTTTCGTAAATAATGAAATTCTTTTTAGGAATTCAATTATTTTCATAAATAATATAAAACTCATTGCAGAATTTCAATTATTTTTAATACAATTTTAATCGAATTTATCGAAAAAATTCTTAAAAATTTGATTAAAATTCGTCCAAAGAATTCTGTTATTTAAAAATTTATGGATAGAATTCTTTATGATAATTTTGTTCTCTTATTTTTCATTTTTGGTCCGTAAAGACCGTATTTTTAAATACTTCCACTGGTTCGAACCCTTCAATATTGAGTTAAATTAAAAATATTATTAAATTAAATTAAGAATAATATTAAATTAAATAGAAAAATTTTGATTAACTTAATTTCCATTTTCTTTCCTTCTCTCTCTCTCTCTTTCTCTCTCTCTCTCATTCAGGAGGAAATGGATTTAGATTCTCCCGAATCGGATTCAACAGAATCGGCATATTGCGAGGTGGAGGGCGAAGATCCAAACGATCCGGAATGGACGGTCGCTGACGATCGTAATACTGAAAAGGAAAGAATACGTCCGACTGCTAAAAGATAGGAAAAAATCATTATCAATTGCAGATTATTCGTCATTAATAAAAATGCGAATGTCACCTGTCAATTGTTGATTATTACATGGTTAAATGACATGCATCTATTTGTCAAAATGGTTGCGAATCTGTAAAGTGTATTATATTATATATTATAAATTTTATATCTTCATTCTGCTTCTTATATTAATGGGAAACCTCGTTTGCGTGTGTGACTACTCTGGCCAAAGCAATTTTCAAGCTAGATTTAAAAAAAAACAAAAGCGGTACACTTTTACTTACCAATTTACAGAAAAGAAAACACTTCGCATCTCTTATTCGTTTAAAGAAAAGAGAGAGAGAGAGAAAGAAAAACAAATCAGCGCTAGAATCTCACCCACTTTTTTTCTTCTTTTTTTTTTGTACAAAATAACTTGTATTTATATTTTAGAGAAAATTCACACTACTTAAAAATAAAAGTGCCAATTAAATATTTTGTTACTTTTTTTTTTCTTTTTTTTTTTTTTTTTAAATTCGTGTATTCTTTAACTGTATATTTTGCCTTTGGCGTGGTAAGTGATTTTTCTTTTTTTTAAGAATCGAATTTCTTTTTTTAGAAAAAAAGGAATGAATTTTAGATTCTTTTCTTTTTTCTCCTGCGTTTCATTGCGCTTTCACATGTATGTACGTAAAAATAATATAAGTGTAAACCGAATGTATCATGTAATAAGTTATTCATGATCTGCAGATCCTCTTGTTTTATTCTTTTTTTTAAAAAGGTATAGATGTATAAAAAAAATTTTTATGTATTACGTAAAAAATACGTGATGACAGTTTTCAAAAAACTGTCTTCGTCAAAAAAAAGAAACTTCTCGTTAAATAATTTCTTAAAAAAAATTGTATTTTTATTAAAAAAAAAAAATTTTCCAATTGTAAAACAAAAAAAAACTCTCGACAGTATTAACAGAAAAGTGAATGAAAAAAAATGTAGTTACGAATAAATTGGAAATATTCAAGCCAAACAGAAATACAAAAGAAAAAAAAGGTGTAATTAATTTTTTCTTTTTTTTGAGAAAATGAGCGAGAAAATGAAAAAAAATATGTAAATTGCAAAATTTTTTGAACAATTTGTGCGAGTTTGTTATATATAGAGAAAGAAATGATTTTGCACCAATTAAAAATAGCTTTACGATGTTAACGTTTTGCAACACTATTTACGAACAAGAGGACGAAATTATTCAAATTAAATGTGAGAGAGTCGAGTCTAGACATTATTATCGTGCTGTTGACACGAATTAAGTTCATCGGTTTCATCAGATTACATCCAATAGTACACTGTAAGGCGAAGCACATAAATTGAGATTTTACCAAAGTTGTAAAAAGAAAAAAACAAAAAAAATCGCTTGGGTACTTCATTGTAATGTTTGAAGCATGTTACCTTCAACGTTCTGTGATACTATATTTAACAAAAAAAAGAAAAAGTCCTGAATAAAACAGAAAACGAATTCACTAAGTTTAATTTTCGTATATTTTATTATCGCGAAATTATAATTTTTGCTAAGAGAATGAAAAATTGTAAACATATTTTTTTTTTGGAGTAATTTTTGTAAAATTCGTTTTTAAAAAACTAAAAGTTATTGTTTTAATAATTATAATATTTTAGTAAATATATTTTAGTGACTATAATATTTTAGTAATTATATTTTAGTGACTATAATATTTTAGTAATTATATTTTAGTGACTATAATATTTTAGTAATTATATTTTAGTGACTATAATACAAATATGTATAAAAAAATTAAATATTTTAATTGAGGGGAAAAAATTCACCTGGTTTTAATTTTTGAGCACGAAAAAAAAAAGTTTTAACTAGTTCCAAAGGAAACAGTTCGTGTTTCTAAAGTATCGAGATCAACAAGAACAACGGTTTTTGTAGTGGAAAATTTTGGAATGCAGATCAATCTCACGACTTGTTTGTCTTCACCTGAAAACAAAAAATAAATAGTTAATCATCCGGAATTAGTAATTTTTTCCAACTGAAAAGAAATTTTTTTTATAATTATTATGATTATTTGAAACTATTTTTTTTAATTAAAATTTTTACAATTGTTTTTTAACTATGAATATTTAAAAATATTTTTTTGTAACTACGTTTAAAACTATTTTTATAAATTTTAATCATCAAGACTAAATTTTAATTAAGACGTTTTTTAAATTTTAATTATTAAGACATTTAAAACTTTAATTTTGAAGAACAATTTTTTAAAATTTAATTAATAAAAAATGTAGTTTTGTTTATTGATTGTAAAGAATATAAATAATAAATAAAGTTGAAATGTTAAAATTGTAAATTTACTTTATGGATGTAAAAAATATGGAAAAAATTAAACTCACCTTCCCATAATTTAGTTTCGAATTTATTCATATTGCCAGCGAAATAAATATTTGGACATTCCTCCATAATAAATAAATCCTTCTCATGATATGGATAACATGGCAATGTATCGGGAGCTGTTGGACAGAAATGTCGCCAATTTAATGTTCTCTCGAGCCACTCGATTGGAGATAAATAATTAGCTCCACTGACTTTAATTAAATCCTCGATTGGTTGTCCGCTCGTTCCGGAAATAAGACGATTTCCAATTTTGCCAATCCAAGGATTTGTCGCTCCACTCACCGAATTGTATCTAAACGAAACGAAAATAAATAAAAAGAAGAAAAAATAATACAAAAAGGTGAAAAAATTACCTTCCAGACCGAAGAATTACAACAAAAAAATTGCCATTATAACAAAAGGAAGAGTGGATGGAAAAAATTACCTTCGAGATTGAGGGAACATACAAGAGTGCAAAGGTTTCTGTGGCATCATAAAAGTGGCAATATCATGCTGTCCTGGCATTAAAGTAACACAACAAAATTTCGCCAATTCAGAAAGTAAATCGTCCATTTTTTTCGTGCCAATCGCAATTTCCTTGGTGACGGCTAGATCGAGAGCTTTTCCACCCTGAAGGCCTTTATTAACGTGACTGTCGGAAGTTCCTTTAATACTGTTTCCTGTAAGTATATATTTTTGTCAAGTAAAAAAGGAAGTAAAATTAAATAAATTAAATTAAAATTATAAATAATGCAGCAATTATTTATTCATTTGTTCTGAAATTAAATTGTTTTTCTCATTTGTATAGGAAATAAGGAAAGTTATTTCTTTTGGGAAATAATTTTGTAAATACCTGCAATAATAACTCGTACGACTGAAGCTCCTTCTTTTTGTGTCGATGAATCGCCTAACATTCCACACAACCATTCTACTAATAAATTTAATTCTAAATTCACTTCGGCAGTTGCTAATTCAAGACCAGAGATTAAAACTATTTTTCCCTTTGTTGGTGATGAGATTTTCTCCTGTGGTAAACAACCCGGGAAGCACCACTCTTCAACCTGAGAGGTAAGAAAAATAATTAAAATAATCTATTATTATTTAAAACGATTCAATAAGAAAAACGAAATTTGTGACAAAAAGAATGTACAAAAAGAAAACGAATTCAGATAGTAAAAATAATGCAATAACAAAAACAATTTAGTGACAAAAAGAATTGAGTAACAAAAATAATTTAGTTGTAAAAACAATTCTATAACAAAGACATTTGAAAAAAAACAATTTAGTGACAAAAACAATAATGACAGTAACAAAAAAATTCGATAATATCCATCGATGATGAATTTAAAGCATAATAAAAATAAATAAATTTAAAAGCAAATGTTAATTTGTATATAATTGAAATAGTGTGAAAAATTTGAGATTATATAGTAGAAATATAATTCAAAACACCTTAAAAGAACTGTTCTGGTCCTGTCGTCCTAGGACTGCACAAACAACTCCAGTCACGGTATCCTTAATATTAACATTTCCCACTAATTTAATACGCGATGTATCGTCCTCGAGATAAACTAGATCATCGTCCGAGCAATAATCATCTTTGACAACTGGCAATACCAATTGTTCGTCTTCACTTAATTCCTTCAATATCGATGGTTTATTCTGCTGATGTTTATAAAGTGTTCCAATTATTATACAACGTTCGTCTTCACACTCTGCCAATTCAGACAATTGCATGATTTTTGCAGTACCTGTAAAATTTTCAAATTAAAAAAGAATTTTGCAACAAAAAAAATCATTTATTTACTAACTATACAAAAAAAAGTGTTTCGTACCCCATTTTTTTCTCGCTTTCTCAGTCAACACTTTTGATAATTCTGATATTCTTGCGGTATAAATTTTAGCAAATTGTTTTGAATAATTTTCATAGTCTCCACGATATTTTGATGAAAGATCTTGATAATCGGCTGATTCTCTTTGAAATACTTCATTACACGAAACATCCGTTTCCATCGGAGTTTCCTTATTTTGAACCATTTTTTTAAACACTATCTAGGTAAACTTAAAAGTAATTTTTATATATATTTTGAAGAATAACAGAAGAGAAGACGAATGTTGTTGTTGTTAGAAAAACATAACCTTACATTTATATTCTTTCCCGCCAATCTCCCCTCCACACAAAAAAAATCATGCGTAATTACACAAACTGTGAACTAAGCCTAAAGTTTGAGGATAAAGGCGCATACACAGGACACAGCTCGGCCGCCTGCCTGCAGCTGTAGTTTGTCCAGTTTGTCAATGTAACTTGTTAAATAATAATAATATAGTAATTCAATTTAAATTGTTAGAAATAAAATAAATATTAGTTATTAAAAATCTTGGTAAAATCTTAATGAATAATTTTATTAATGAATTAGAAAGGGGTCTTCCATTAACCACGTGGCGCTTCAAAGGGTTGGGGGGACCACGTGGTCCAAGCATGCTACCTGAGAGGGGGGGGGGGTTGAAATTTCAAAAAATGGGACCACGTGGTTTATGGAAAACTCAAAAAATAAAATAATCAGCATAAATTCTTCCTTCTTTTTAATGTAAAACCGTACTATTTTATTTCATTTTGTCGAATTTTATTTTTAATATAAAATTTGAGTGCCGAAAATTATTATTGAAACTTTTGAGAATAAAATAATTTTCGTATTTAGTCGATGTTGAAATTATTCGGAATTTGTACAGAGGAAAGTTAATCCCCTATTGTAAACAAGATAACGATCCTTGACCATTGTTAATAGAAGTTGTTTTCATTCTGTCCTTGTCTATCTTATCTTTGAGGGTAATAAAAGTACGAAATTGAAATTGAGCCCTTTCCCCTTCTTTTCTTTTCTACCTGCATCATTTCTCCCTTCTACTTTTCTGAGTATGCCATTGCGTCGCAGTTCTTCGATATCCTTTGATGAGGTAAAGTTTTATTTCGTCTAAAATAACATTAAACATTTCTAATTGCTCATATTAATTAAATTAAAAAAATAATATTCACTTTTTTCATTTGAATAGGATATCCAAGAATTCTCCAAACAGCAAACACATTTTCAACGAGGAAGGTTCCTCCAATTTCCGCGTCATTTCTGATTTAATGAGTGAGTACAAAAAAATTTATAAAATATAACTTTTTTTTAATAAACAATTTCTAATTATTATTTGTAGTTCAAATTATTAACAAAATACCAGCCATTGAAAATAGTAATTACAATAATTACACTAAATGTAGAAAAATTATTTTAATTATTTGAAACTGTTTTTCCTTCCATTATAATATTAATAAAGAATTTTTTTTGATATTTTGAAGATGATTGAAAAATTAATTTCCAATTCATATTTTTTTATTTCATACTGATACATTATTTTAAATATTTTAATAAACAATTTATTTAATCAAAAGTTAAATAGTTAATAAAATATTTTTGTAAAAAAATTTCTTTACTTTACAATACTAACTATTAATTATCAATTATTTAAGAAATAAATACAACAGGTATCCTTGCATATCATAAAATTATTTGGTTGAATTCTACAATTATATATCACTAATTTTAGAAAATTATCTTTGCAATAGCATTTAAAAAGTTTTTTTTATAAAAAACAATTTTTAATAAAAAATTACTCAAGTTGTAGGAATTAATTACAACAATTTTAATGTTTTTATTGTACAATTTATTACAAATTTCTTTTACAGACACGCATCACACCCCAGTCTTAAGAGAGATCAGATAGGAAAGAGCATTTAACAGGACAATGCAGTTATAATGCAGTTATAGTTCAATCATCCTTTGCAAGACTACAAGGAAAAAGAAAAAAAGATTAATATGAGTAAGTCATAAACTATCATTAATTCGCAAATTTCATTACCATTTTTAAAAATAATAATGTTAACTGCCGTAAATTTATATTCACAATACTTAAAGTTTATAATTTTTAATCTACTCAGGTACAAGTACAGACTTTGAAAAAAATATTGAACATTTTTGATAGCCATAGATTTGTCTTAAAGTAGTCTTTTTAATGAAATCCCCATTTTTCACAAATTAATGTGAACTGCTTTTTTTCAAAAAATTAATGTCAACAGCTGTACATATTATAATCAATAGCTATTAGTTATAATTTTTCTCTGACTCAGTGACATGAACTGTGTTTGGAAAAAAATATTAGACATTTTTGACAGCTGTAGATTTGCTTTTAATTAGATTTTTTAATAAAATTTCATTTTTCAAAAAATTAATGTCAACTTCTGTACATATTATAATAAAAAGCTATTGGGTATATTTTTTAACATACTCAGGAACTTTGTACTGAGGTTGGAAAAAAATATAAGACATTTTTGATAGCCGTAGATTTGCCATAAATTTTACTTTTTAATAAAATTTCCTTTTTTTCAAAAAATTAATGTCAACAGCTGTACATATTATAATCAATAGCTATTGGATATAATTTTTCTCTGACTCAGTGACATAAAGTGTGTTTGTAAAAAAATATTAGACATTTTTGTTAGCTGTAGATTGGCTTTTAATTAGACCTTTTATTAAAATTTCCTTTTATCAAAAAATTAATGTGAACTGCTGTACATATTATAATCAATAGCTATTAGTTATAATTGTTTATATACTCAGAAACATGTACTGAGTTTGGAAAAAAATATTAGCCATTTCTGTAAGCTGTAGATTTGCTTTTAATTAGATTTTAAAAAAAAATATCATTTTTCAAGAAATTAATGTCATCTGCTGTACATTTTTATGAACAATTGTTATAGTTTTTAATTGTTTACATACTCAGGGTCATTTACTGAGTTTGGGAAAATATAGTAGACATTTTTGTTAGCTGTAGATTTGCTTTCAATTAGACTTTTTATTAAAATTTCCTTTTATCAAAAAATTAATGTGAACTGCTGTACATATTATAATCAATAGCTATTAGTTATAATTTTTTATATACTCAGGAACATGTACTGAGTTTGAAAAAAAATATTAGACATTTTTGTCAGCTGTAGATTTGTTTTTAATAAGAATTTTTAATAAAATTTCATTTTTCAAAAAATTAATGTCAACTGCTGTACATATTATAATCAATAGCTATTGGTTATGTTTTTTAACATACTCAGGGACATATACTGTGTTCGGGAAAAAATAGTACACATTTTTCTTAGCTGTATATTGGCTTTTAATTAGATTTTTAAATAAAATTTCATTTTTTAAAAAATTAATGTCAACTGCTCGACATTTTTATAAACAATTGTTATAGTTTTGTATTTTTTACATACTCAGGAATATGTACTGAGTTTGGGAAAAAATAGTAGACATTTTTGTTAGCTGTAGATTTGCTTTCAATTAGACTTTTTATTAAAATTTCCTTTTATCAAAAAATTAATGTCAACTGCTGTACATATTATAATCAATAGCTATTAGTTATAATTGTTTATATACTCAGGAACATGTACTGAGTTTGGAAAAAAATATTAGCCGTTTTTGTAAGCTGTAGATTTGTCTTAAATTTTACTTTTTATTAAAATTTTCATTTTTCTAAAAATTAATATCACCTGCTGTACATATTATAATTAATAGCTATTGGTTATAATTTTTTACATACTCAAGGACATGTACTGAGTTTGGCAAAAAATAGTAGACATTTCTGATCGCCGTAGATTTGTCTTAAATTAGACATATTATGAACAATAGCTATTGTTTATAATTTTTTTCCTTTCTACGGAAATGTACTGAATTTTGGTAAAAAAGTAGTGGTCATTTTTTATAGCTTTAAAGTATAATGTTTATAATATTTCTTATTTTGCGAACTTTAAAATTCTACTGCTGAACATTTTTTTTATATTTTTTTCATAGTCTGGATATTTGCTGGGTGGCCAAAACTTGCTCTTGTTTTTAATACCCTAGATTCTGTTTAACCTTTAAAGTGCTATGCCGGTCTGACAGACCGCTATAAAAATTTTCTTTGCTTGTAACTTTTTTTCAAAGTAAGATACGAACTTGAGCTTTTCAGTAGCTTCATATTTTATAAAAATCTGTTAAGTGACAACTTTTTCAAAAATTTTTTTTCTTTAAATTTTGTATTGTAAAATATGAAAAAATAAAAAAAATTGAATCAAATTAATGTAGAAATGACTTTTTTTGTTAAAAAGTGAAAAATATTTACAATAGTTGTCTTTAGAAAATTATAAATTACTAAAAAACCGAAAAAAAGGGAATAGCGGTCTGACAGACCGGGGGTAGCACTGAGCGTGATTTTTCGGCACATAGCACTTTAAAGGTTAAATTAATCTTTTTTCAAAAAACATTATTTTTTCGACTTTAATGTCAACATAATATGTATAGTAAAAAAAAAACAATTAATGTTTATATTTCTTTACATACTTTGGTACATTTCAGGATTTGCAATAAAAAATTGTGATCTTTTTTAATCCTGTTTAGATCGCTTTAAATTAAACTTTTTTGAATAATTAATTTTATTTCGAAATTAATGTAAACTACTGTTCAGTTATATAAACGCAATAATTATTGTTTATATTATTTTTCCATATTTAGGATCATTTGAGTAGTTAATAAAAAAATTGCGAACTTCTCCACCTCTTTGTATTATTCCGTTTAAAGTCTTTTTAAAAAATGAATATTATTTCGACATTAATGTCGACTAATGTGCAGTAATATAAACTGTAGTTATTGTATATATTTTTTTTCATAGATTTTCAAAAGTTGAATGCCTCATATTTTTTTTCAAATCATTATTCCTAAATTGAAAAATTCTTTATTTTATTCTATATTTTATTCTTTAAATATAATTATTGTATTTGAAAAATAATTATAAAACTTATTTTTGTAAATGAAGTTCTATTTGAAAATGTTAGTAACTAATATATTAGTTAAACAAAAGAAATTTGCATTTTTCTTTTTTTTATAATTTAAGAAATATTATTTGATTCTATATTTTTAATCTTCTGTATTTTATATTCTTTATTTTTTTATTAAAAAATATGAGTGGAAAATTACTGAAAGTTGTGGAATAAATTAATTTCAAAATTTACAGTCAAATTTTGAATATTTCATTATTAGAGAGCAAATTTAATCCTCTATTGTATACAAGAATGATAACGACCTTAGGTATTGTTAATAGAGGTTGTTTACATTCTGTCCTTTTCTTTTCTTCTAACGATAATAAAATTTCGAAATTCAAATTGAGCCCTTTCCCCTTCCTTCCTTCCTTCCTGAAAATTGTTTTCTCCTTCTACCTACACGAAGAAAAATATAAAGTAACTTTTACTACTTTTATAGTAAAAAATTTCCGGTAAAGCATTTCTGGTAATTTTTACTACTTTTAGAGTAAACTTTGCTACTTTCGAAATAAATTTCACTAATTTTTACAAATATTTACTTCGAACGTAGCGAAATTTACTCTAAAAGTAGTAAAAATTAGAAGAAATGCTTTACCGGAAATTTTTTACTATAAAAGTAGTAAAAGTTACTTTATATTTTTCTCCGTGTAACGAATTTAATCATAGCGTTGCTGCGAAGTCCTTTGAAATCCTTTAGTTCGGTAAGTTTAATTATTAGCACAGTTATAATTCAGTTAATGAATTTTCTTAATTAATTAATTGTCTTTATATATTTTTTCATTTCATTTTATTATTTATAGATTACTTTATGTATGGTAATATTTTTAATTTTCTTAATTAAAATTATAAAATGTAAATAATTTATTTCTACGTAAATTACATAATTTTGGTAATAATGCCTACTTATTATTTAAATTTTTATAATATCAATTTATGATAAAATTAAAAATGTTCTCTAATAAAATTGTGTTCTTATATCTAAGCAAATATGTTATCAGTTTTAGTAAATCTTTTTTTTTGTAAAAATACTTTTAAAATTAATTTTTTATATAAAGAAACAACTTTGAATAAAATAAACAACATTAGGCGTAAAAAATAATTTTTTTTCTTGTTGAATTAATTTAAATTTTTTTTGCAGAATCGCATCACATCGCAGTCCTTTTAGGGGAGATATGGGAGGCAAACAGTTTTCAAGAAGAGACGAAAAAATTTTGCAGACTTCCCCAACATTTTGATTTCAAGGCGCTGAGGAACGTAAAAAAGGTAAGTCAGAAACTATCAACAATATAATCCTTTTTATTGTTTCATGTACAAAAAACATTGATTTATTTAAATGAATTTTTTATTTTCAAAAGTACAAATTCTTCTATATATATTCAATAAATATTTAATATTAGTTAATGCTTTAAATATTTAAACAAGAAAATTAAATAAAATTGTTTGTAATTAAAAATCATAAATTATCCAAAATTAATTTGTAAATTTTATTTAATATTTTCAAATACCAAAATAGTCACTTATAAATTAATGTAGAAAAAATAATGTTTAATACTGCAAAATACGGTTTCAAAGAATTTTATTAAAAACTTTTGAAAATAATTTAATTTAAATTTTACTGAAATTTATTGAATTATTTTAAAAAATTGTATAAAAATTTTTAAAAATAATTAAATTCTTTCAAAGATTTTCTTTAAGGGGTTACACCACCCTGAACGCCTGAAAATTGGAAGGTATTTCAAAAATAAATTTTGACAGAACTATTAAAAATACAATTTTTTACTAATTATAGTATAAAGATAAATATATTTGACTGTAAAAAAAATTTTGAAAAATAAAAAAATATTCAAAAATGGCGAAGATATGGCGTTTTTTCGAAACTTCTTTTTTTTGGAACGGTGTACATGATTTCTCAAAAACCACTCAACCGATTCTCAACCGATTCAAATGGGAGCACTTAAAAAAAGTCTAAAATTTTGGGTACAAAAAATTTTCTTTAAAAATGTATAACTTTTTTTAAAAAAATCATATCAAAAAAATCCTACGTCATGCCATAGAGAATGTTATTGAGCAGTTGTGTACAAAATTTAAAGAATCGGTTGAGTAGTTTTTGAGAAATCATGTACACCGTTCCGAAAAATGTAGTTTCGAAAAAACGCCATATCTTCGCCATTTTTGAATATTTTTTCATTTTTCAAAATTTTTTTTACAGTTGAATATATGTATTTTTATACTGTAGTTAGTAAATAGTTGTATTTTTAGTAGTTTTGTCAAACTTTATTTTTGAAATACCTTCCAATTTTCAGTCGTTCAGGGTGGTGTAACCCCTTAAAGTTTCGAAAAAAAATAATTTAATTCCATCAACAAATTTTAATAAACATTTTAAAATTAATTAAACATTGTTTCGAACATTTTATTGAAATTTTTTGAAATAAATAAATTGTTTTAACAAATTTAATTAAAAATGTATTAAAAATAATTCAATTATCTCATGAAATTTTATTAAAATTTCATTGAAAATTATAAAACAAAAATATAAAATTTATAAAAATTGTACTAAAAATAATTGAAAACCTACTTCTAAAGAATTTTATTTTTATTATTATTTTATTTATTATTTTTAAAAATAATTGAATTCTTTCAAGAAATTTTATTAAAAATTTAAGAAAATAAAATTAATAATTATAACTGAAAATTTTGAAAGTAATTCAATGTTATGAAAAATTCTTTTTAATTTTTTAAAATAATCGTATTTGTTTATAATTGTAATTAAACATTTAATTATTGCATTTTATTAAAATTTGTAGATAATAATTAATTAAGTTCTATTGAGAATTTTATTCAAATTTTTAAAATTACTAAATTCATTAAAGGAATTTAATTAAATTTTTTAAATAATTGAATTGTATTTAAAATTTTCGTTACCCGTTAATAATTATTATTAAAAATTTTGATTATTGAATTTTATTAGTCTTTTGGGAAGAACTCAAGTCTTTCTAGAATTTCATTATAATTTTTGAAAATATCTTTAATTTTTTTAATCATAATTTTGAATTGAAAAAATAACTGAAAAATTTTTAAGTTGAATGTATACATAAATAAATAACAAATAAAAGTTTTATAAAATAATAGGAAACTTTTTTCATAATTTTGAATTATGAATCTCCTTTTTTAAAAAAAAATATTTGTATCTTTTTACATGATTTCTATTTCTTTCATCAGCATCTGTTAAAATATTCAATATTGTGTTTAATAATTATTATTAATTATTAATTATCTATTTTTTATTTCTTCGTTTCGACAAGTTTTTAAATTTGGTATAAATTATAAATATTTGAGAAATGAGAAATTCAGCAAACTTTTTTTCTTTGGTTTTAAGGGAATATTGTCGATTGAGAAAGAGAAATTCTGTAAATTGTATTCCCAATGTCAAAAAAGTTTTTTTGCGTTAAACACAGAGTGACTGAATACTTATTCTATGTTTTCTAACTATACTTTAATATATGTTGCAGTGATTTTTTCAACATCGTATACTCCTTTAGAAGAGGAAAGAAAGCAGGATATTCAAGACTATATTGTTAGATAATTATATTATAATATTATATTTTACGATTATTATTATTGTACTGCGATTTAAAAATACTGTAATATTGTTTAGATAGTAATTGCGATATATATATGTATTAAATAAATAAAAAAAAGTGTCTGAAGAGGACAAGAAAGAAGCGGAAGGAATCGAACAACGAACGAAGACTGAACATCTTTTGCCGAACAGGAATGGTATTCAGAGTGAGTTTTTAATCTTGATATTTATTTTTTTTATATTTCTAAGGTGTTACAGCGGCTAACCCACATTCTATTGATTTTTTTATTATTTGTTCTTAAGGTCATTCTTGGTATATTTACAAAATTAAAAAAACTTTGCATGTTTGAAAAAGTGAAATATTGAGAAAAATTTCTGAGAGAATAGTATACTTTGAATATAAAAGAAAAATAGTAACATGAATTAATACTAGATTTATTTTCAAATCAAATAATATACATAATTATATTTAAAGCTAGAATTATAAAGAAATTGTACTTTTACTTTTAACATAAACTTATAATTATTGCCGCTGTGATTCCTAAATGAAAAAATTGCAATCCCTTCATTATCCCTTGAATATAATATAGAAAATAGATGGTTTAATATTTTTTGTGCGAATAATTGAAATCCTCTATACAATAAGAGGACGTTTTTGCGGTTTCAAGGGATAATACAAGTCAGGTAGCAGTGAGTTGCTCTTTGCTTGTCACTGCTACCCGACTGGTATTATCCCTTGCGACCGCTGGCTACTTGGGGTAAGTACCTATATTTTGAACTGAAATATTGTAATATTAAAAAATAATTATATCATCCCTATTTACACTTTAAATGTTTGAAGAAAAAAATATGATTTAAAAAAATGACGTTCATGTTATTGTCAATTTAAAAAATTAATTAAAATTAAAAAGACAAAAAAACTTAATAAATTGGTTTCATGAAGTCAAGACATTATTGTAAAATACATAATTAGTTTTAAAAAATGTGTGAAACAAAAAAACATAAAAAATTTAAATTTTAAATTAACTTGTCAAAAAAATGACTATAAAATTACCCCTAATTCTAATACAAAACCTTCCCATTTTTTCTATTTTGACCAAAATAATTTTCTTTTAAATAAATTAATTCTTCTAAAACTATAATAAAATTATTAGGTTTAAATTATTTAATAATTAATTTTACTTAAATATTTCAAAATTAATTTTATTTTAAGGAGTTGCGATTACAATTTTCATAAATAGGTGATCTTCAAAAGTTTCAATTTAAAATTTTTAAAAATTTCAATTTTTAACCCTAGAAGGAGTATGTGAAATTTACTCAGCCTCTACGGAGTAACTGGGATGTCCCGACACCCCACGCTTTAAACTTGTTTTATAAGGTTTCTATTTGACGTAAAGGAAATTATGTGCAGTGAATTTAATTGGTTTTTTAGTAAGGAATACAATAATATTATTTATATTTTGATAAATTAAAAAAATTTTGAAAAAACCGTAAAAACGCCAAAAAATTGCAAAATTGACTTTTTTCACAAAAATCGCTGTAGTTTCTGAAAAATTTGACTAATTTAAAAACTATTTCAGGTTTTTAAAGTTAAATAGATACACTTTTAGGGAATAAAAATAGTTTTTGTATTAGTTAAAAAAACAATTATTTGAATATCTGAAGTGAAAGAAATTTAAAACAATTGGCGAATAGTGAAAATCATAAAAATGAACTATAAAAATAAAATGGACTTTAACAATTAATATTTACTAAAAATGGTGTTATAAATTTAAAATTTTACAAACTTAATATATCTGAATATATAAACATTAAAATTTATAACTTTAAAGTGATTCTGTAAATTAATTTTTTATCAAAGTTTTAATTAACAATTTGAAATACCTCTAATATAAATACTTTATCAGATTATTTTAACTGATTGAAAACGATTTTTTTAAAAAAAATTGAATTTACGTATCTTCATAACAGAAGATAACAGAAGATAGAGCTCTTCCTAGAGCAAAACTAAATTATCAACGGGTTGAGAGCGTAAAAAAATTATTGGTTAAGCCAGGGGAATACCTTGAATTTTGCTTGGAGTGTCCAGACACCTCAGTTACTCCTTTTAGGGTTAATGATCTTAAATAGATCATCATCTTATTTATTATCTTTATAAATTATAAATAATAATACTTTTCTCCAAAGTTAAATTATTTTCCAAAATTTTAACAAAATTCTTGAAAAATTGTCAATTATATTCAAAAATTTTTACTCAATTAAAAAATTTTCGATATCTGCTGCTTTAAAAAAATATCCCAAAAGCATTTAATTATTAAAACAAATTCTAATAACATTTTGCTCAAGCATATAATTATTTTTAAAAATAGGGAAAATTTCAAAGGAATTGAATTCCCCAAAAAACATTAATATATATCATTAAAAAACCGCTGCCAAGTAGTATATATTTTTTATAATTTTGGTGCTCATATCATAAACACATTGCCTCCTTATAGAGATAAAATAATAAAAATATATGAATATATAGTTAAACAAAAATTTCCAAACAAAAAAGTTGAGAAAATATCATTTTCCACAATGTTTGGTTTTTAAAATACCAATAACTTCGAAATTTATTATCGAATTAAGTTTAAAAATAGGTCAATCAAAGGGTTTTTTTAATGCTCTACAAGTTGGTAACGATAATTTTAAAGCTACTTCTACATTTTTCAACAAAATTTTCAAAAATTCGTGATTTTTAAAAATTTAATATCCCCGGTTAATATGGACGAAAAATGTTCAATTAGGGCTCAAAAGATGTGTCTATAAGAACTCTACAAAATTATGGAAAAACATTTATAGGTGTCCCAATATTCTTTTAAAGTTATGAGCAAAAAACGTTTTTTTGCAAAATTAAAAATAAAAAAAAAATTAAGTTAAACTTTATTAATCTTTCACAAAGTACTCTCATCTTATGTCCGCAGGTGAGATCTACAATTTAAAAAAAATTCAACCCAAAAGCTTTTTACGATTTCGAGATATTTATGAAAAATTGAAAATGTAATGTTTGCACACACACACATACATACATACGGAATGACATTTTTAAACTCCTGAGGTCAAATAACATAAAGATATGTCACAAAATCGAACTCGAAAATTTTTGGTATTACAATACTTCCTCTAGGAGGAAGTAATTTTATTAATTGAGGGGCTGGATGCTATAATGTGTTACGCGCCATTCACTTAACATGGCGCGTAACACATTATAGCATCCAGCCCCTCAATTGTTGGTGGGATGTTGCTAAACAACATCCTAAAGTAAAGAAAATATTGCAACTTTTAAGTAGTAACAGGTTCCACCCGTTCATTATATCAGATGTAAGACTTTCCATGATAATAATCTAAGGATATTATGAGAAGAAAGTGAGTCAAAAATATTCACTTAAAACAATTAGATTACTTTTAGCTTTTATTCGATTGATGTAAAAAGAATCAATTGGTTAGAACGAGGGGTTTCGAATTAGACCGTGACGCAAGCTCATGAACATCCGTTGGTATATCCTAAGCTGGCTTTGAATTGAGCAGTCACACAAAGTTTATGAACACTCCCAATATTACTCATTAACTGGTAGTCAGGGAACGAAATATGTATTTTAATTTGATGACGAATTTTTGACTAACTTGATTCCTGTAATTTAATATATAAAAATACAAAAGGCATAAAAAATTTAATAATTTACTCTCAGATTTAAGAATTTATAAAATATTTAGAAAGAAAAAGAGTTTATTGATAAATGATGATAAATTTTCCAGTACAATTAAAATAAAAATCAATGACAATCGGTAAAGGAATCTCTTCGCGGAAATAAATCGGTTTTGTCTCGTGAAAAGCTAAACGATCTCTACCTTCCGTTTTTCGCAAAAAAAATACGGTTGTGGTCCCGAAGTCTTTTCTCAACCCGTTTCGTAGTTTTAAAAAAATGGAGTGTTAGTCCGACACTAATTTTCATAAGTAGCGTAAACATTACTGTAAAATATACAAATATCTCAAAAATATGCTAAACCTAAAACTTCTCAAAAAGATCAAACTAGCTAAAAAAATAAGAAACATGAATAAACAAAGATAAAAAATTCAACTTAAATTTATTCTCTTTCACCAAATAAGGGAGTCAACAGATTTCACTTTAAAATAACATCGAAATCAGAGTTATTTAGATTAAATCCACGATTGACATGAAGAAAGTCGATCATTGAGCAGAATTAAGACCCGAGAAAACAAATCGGGAGGATGTGGATGGGTTAAGACTTATCTCTCCAGCGGGTTTTTTGTTAAACGTTTGGAAAGAGCAAATAGAATACATAAAGTTGATAAATAAAAAATAATTTTTTACAACAATATCTGATGACGGACGTTAATTAAACCACCTGAGACCAATGCTCTCTGAAGGGTCCACGATGGGTATTGGATTCATCTTGGTGAATCACACACCCTAAAGGGTACTTAATAGGAAAAAAACATTCGGTTGACATGAATGAATGTCATTTTTGCAAAGTAATACCTGTTGACTCTCTTATAGGTAGTATTTTGACAAAGATGTCTTTTTAATTATAAGGAAAGGAAGAAATTAGCCTTTTGCTGCTACTTACAATTAACATTTATTACTTACAATTGATTAAGGAAGAAATTAGCCTTTTGCTGCTACTTACAATTAACATTTATTGATTATTATTGAATATTTGTATATATTACATTTTTTCTTGAAGAAAATTCAAAGTGGCCTCCCTACTTAGTAATAGCATACGGAATTACTTTGTTAAAAGTAAAAAAAAAATAAAAACCAAAAAAAAGAAACCAAAAAAGAAGAAGAAACCAAAGACAAAATAATAAAAAAATATAAAAAAATTCAATTATTTCACACTAAAACTACATGATATTTTACATTATTTAGAGCCTGAAATAAGCTAGGGTAATAAATGCAAAAGTAACCATTTCAAATATATATAATCAGCTTGAATCGTTTATAATCGGAGATTTGCGGCAAACATTATATATTTAATTAAATTAGTTTTATATTATTAAAAATATTGATCCTTGTATGAAAAGAGTAGATATGCAAATTAGGTAAAGGAAGACATTCTTATGATATTCGTTTTGGAACGAGAAAGAAAATACATTCTGAAATTTAAAAGAGATATTCTAATAGCAAGTCTATAAAAATATTGT